GGGCAAAATTTCCCGTGTACACAGTTGTGCTATGGTCTTCTCTTATTTCGAATTCCAACGTACTGATTATAAAACAACCCACGCACAGGACCTTCAGGTTATCTGGCCAGCGTCTTACTGACTGAGTTACGGTGGCTCACTGTCTTCAATAACCTTGTTGGTATAGAAAAGTAGTATGTTAAATGTCATACCCTCCAGTCGATAATATATAAATTTAAAGATACATTATGGGAGATTCGATAACGAGTTGGTAGTTCTCACTATAATAGGTAAAAACAAGATAATGTAAAGGCAATTTGCTGAAAATTTCATTCAAATTGATCCAATCTGAACAGAAAACAAAGGGATTGAAATTTCTGCCTAGCCTTGATCATCATTGCTAAAGTCGGTACATTAAACAGCATAGTCTCGATTATCCATTTAATGGTTAAATTGTGAAGGAAAGTTATGCAGTAAATCGGCTCACAATCCACTAAAGATCGCAGGCTAGCGATGCCATCTAGAGTTGATTATGGTCTGGATAGGTTAATTAATGTCTAATTAATAATTTAGATAACATTTCAGGCCAAATGAAAGACCTGCAATAGGCAGATTTAGCTCTCGTGTAATGTATGTTTAAATGTTGTAACTTCAGGACCAATAACCCCACAAGGTACAGGTTTACTAGCAGTAGAGAGTGTAGCTGGTAGAGAGGTAGTTATAACTTAAACATACATTATGGAGAGAGAAAGAGAATTGGGGTTTAGCGTCCACTCGACACAAACTAAGTCATTTTGGGACTAACATATGGTTTAATTTTATTTCAATAATTCGCTTGCGCACAGGGGTCTTTAGCAGTGGGAGGAAACTGGAGGTCCCGGAGAAAACCCACGAGGTTGGACAGGCGATCCTACTCCTTGTCACGTGTAACAGGGGAATCGAAACCACGCCAGTTGACTCAATGACAGGCCTTATGATACAGTGCGTGCGTGCTAACCATTCAGCCATCCAACCCCCCCAAACATACATTATGGGAGATTAGATAAGGATCCGGCAGTTCTCACTATAAAAGTTAAAAACTAGATAATGTAAAAATAATGAAAATTTCAGTCAAATTGATCCACTCTGAACCAAAATTTTAGCGATTGAATTTTCTCTGGGTCCTGAAATGACCTAGTTTGTAGACGTTAAACCCTACTTCTCTCTCGCTCTCAATACAATATGAACCATAGAATTATACTCCAAGCAAGTGTTATTTGGTAAAAAATTATTCTTCTAAAAAAACATCACAAAAATGAACGAATATTATCAGTAGCTTTGTTTTCTGTGTTTATATGGTTAGAGTAGGTCATAGTGTCACTCTCTGGACAAACTTTCCTCATAGCACACTGCATGGCATATGTCTGTCTTCATTAGCACGGACAGTATGACATTAAACCCCATTTCATTTCATTTCTCTTCATTAGCACGGACATTAAAACCCCATTTCATTTCATTTACTGTAGATATTAACCAGACATTTGTTGGTGAAAATGTCCAATTAAGAGTTCTAGTCTGAAGTTTTATAATAAAAGATGTTATTTTTTTTTTTTTTTTCAGCCTGGTTTTAGAATAGCAGCAACTGGTGTAGTGCTGGAACTTGATAAATCTTTACAAATTGTTAAAAAATTAAAATTAACAGGATTTCCCGTTAAAATTTATAAAAAGACAGCTTTTATAAAGGTTAGATATTGTTTGTAACTGTATTCCATCTTTTTATTAGGATATTTGTTTATTAAAATTCCCAGGATGTTGGATGGCCGAATGGTTAGCACATGCACGCTGTATCATAAGGTCTGTATTGAGTCAACTGGCGTGGTTTCGATTCCCCGGTTGTACATGACAAGGAGTTGGGTCGCCTGTCCAACCTCGTGGGTTTTCAACGAGTCCTCCGGTTTCCTACCACTGCTAAAGACCCCTATGCGCAAGCAAATTATTGAAATAAAATAAAAATTGAACCATATGTTTTTCCCACAATGGCCTCTCTCTCTCTCTCTCACTCATTGATCTGTAACCTGTCTCTGATAGTTCTTTGAATGTATTTATTTGTTCAGGGTATGTTTAGTTCAGCATTAGAAGTGGCGAAATTTGAAGGTGCTAGTCTACGGACGGTCAGTGGATTAAGAGGTCAAATAAAGAAAGCTTTACGAACCCCAGAGGGAGCTTTCAGAGCAACTTTTGAAGATAAAATTTTAAGAAGTGGTAAGTTTTGTTAAATGACCACACTATATATTTACTCATATATTTATTCTCAAATCATGTTATCGCTTCGGATGTACAGAAAACAACTGCGGAGGAAACAAGGGATGCTCATTAGTCAGTCCAGAATGTCCCGAATTGACAGAATTGCAATCGAACGACACGGAATTCAGTCCTGTCAGTCTCCACAATTGAGGTGGTGTGAGTAAATTTGTGACGTGTAGCACCATGAGTCTTTTGTCACGCCAAACCGGTCGCCACATGGCATATGACCCATGCATCTTTTCTTACTACATATCTTAGTAGCCTTGTGATCCTCTAGTATTTTCACTTGTCGTCTTTGCTTCCCCTTCGCGTTGTGTATTTACTTCTTCTTGTCTATCTTAGTTAGTTAAGACGTTTGTCTTACCAGGAATGACAATGCAACAGTTTGTTTTTACATTTTATATATCATAGCTGCTTACATATGGTACAATGCATAATAGAATAAATCATTCTCTCAAACCTCATCCAGCCAGACTTGCTGGGCGAGTCTGCTGATAGAAACTGCTACATCATATGGTCTAGGAACTCACATGGTAATTTCTCCAAAATCTAATGAAAATCTGCCTTAAAAGTTGGCCATGATTTCTTTTAGAGGACCCATGGACATCACGCTCTGACTAGGCTATTCATTACCCTGAACCTGTGCAATTACTGATGATTGGTTACTAAAGCCAAATGATGCAATTAGTAAATTTCCAATCACATGTAATCTGGTAATATTTTGTTGACACATAGAACCAGCTATGTTTTGGTTCTATAACTCTTTTTATCTGTCAACCTGTCACTTATATTTTTAGTGCACCTTTAGTACAATTAATTAATGAAATATAATGCCACCATTAATTATAAGAGCAAAAATTCTAGCAATATTGCTACAGACGTAATTAAACACAACCAATATATTTCAGCTGTAGTTGGTTAAAAAAAATGTTCGTATTGAGTCGGTGCACATGTTGTAACCTGAAATCTTTTTTACCCGACTGTCATTATTCGTAGGATTTATAGAACGTTCCGGAACTTTCATTCAAGTATCCCCTAAGTGTTTCACGAAATTTTAACCATAATAAATTCAAATTTTAGTAATTTGATTGGATAATATTAGATTGATTTTAGTGCTTAGCCAATCAAAACTGAAGTATCTACTAAAATTTGGATTTTATCTTTAGTTAAGATTTTGAGCAACAGAACCCAGGATGTTAGTGTCTATTCAGCCATATTGATTTTATTACAGATATTGTATTTGTCCGAACTTGGTGTCCAGTTGAAGTACCAGAATTCTACAACCCAGTCACAACTCTTTTACTTCCTCGTGATCAGAAAAAATCCTGGGTCGGGATGAGAACTCTTGCTCAGTTGAGGAGAGAAAAGGGAATTCGTCTTGAACAAAAGGCCGATTCAATTTACAAGGTAAAGGATAGCTGTTTGTCTTTTTTAATAAATTATAGATTTTACTATATTGAAATATTTGTCTTTATGTAAAAGAAGTAATGAATTTAACGTCCTACTTTTCTGCACCCTCCAAGAGAATGAGGGAATTTGGCCCAGGCATCAACTCTAAGGCCTACTTATTTTTATTCTTTAAGTGGCATTTAGCGATCAGGGAACAAATTAACAGAACACAGTTTTTATGGGATACAATCACTAGTTTATTCTAAAAGCACGACGTTTCCACAAGTATTCTCTTATCGTTATCAATCAAGCAAAAAAAAAACAAAAAAAAACGTCATGCTTTTAGAATAAAGACATCGATTGTTTTAAAATAAAAATTGTGTTCTGTTAATGTGAACGAAATGTTATACTGATAGCAGTCCTACAACCCAGTTTTATTTCACAGACCCTCAATGCAAACTGGACCATATCAAACAAAACAGGAATGTGGACGTATATTGCTGCGTTAGCGATGCTCTTGTTGTGGTCTTCCAACTGACAGGCTGCCACTGTTATAATACACAGGGCTATTCGAATGACTGTTCCTTACAAGTGGATACCCAAGCAATCAGATTAGAATACAGATCTATATTTCGTTTTTTTTTTTTTTTAAACTTTCGATGGCCTACATTACATGAAGATCTGACTGCTTGTAGTGATAGGTCGTATCAGAGGTCATACGAGCGACTTTTGACCCTATGACGTCAGACATTTGATTCTAGTGGATTACCCATAGTTCCGTGCACCACACACAAAAGCTCACTGTAACAGACTGTTTCATTGGCTAATCCTTCACATCATCCAGAATACGCCAATGATAACAACTCTTCCAGATCCTAGTGTAGTAAAGACAAGTAAAACAAAATTTTGAACTATGAAAAACGAAACGAAATAGGATCTGTGTTGGAATCAGATTGATACCCAAGTGGACAAGTTTTCAGTTAATCATTTCTTTGTAAATCATTTTAATGTGTTGTATATTGTTTTCTTGTTACAGCCCCTTACTATATTGTTTTTATCGTTACAGCCCGTTACTATATTGTTTTTATCGTTACAGCCTGTTACTATATTGTTTTTATCGTTACAGCCCGTTACTATATTGTTTTTATCGTTACAGCCCATTACTATATTGTTTTTATCGTTACAGCCCGTTACTATATTGTTTTTATCGTTACAGTCTGTTACTATATTGTTTTTATCGTTACAGCCAGTTACTATATTGTTTTAATTGTTACAGCCTGTTAGCATATTGTTTTTATCGTTACAGCCCCTTAATATATTGTTTTTATCGTTACAGCCTGTTACTATATTGTTTTTATCGTTACAGCCTGTTACTATATTGTTTTTATCATTACAGCCCGTTACTATATTGTTTTTATCGTACAGCCCGTTACTATATTGTTTTTATCGTTACAGCCTGTTAATATATTGTTTTTATCATTACAGCCTGTTAATATATTGTTTTTATCATTACAGCCTGTTATACGTAAGAATAAGATTTATAAACCACTGGTTATACCGAGAGGTTTAAAGAAACAGTTACCATTTAAAGCTGTACCAGAATCATTGTTACGTAAAAAAGAAAGTAGCATGAAAAGAGTCGCTGTAATTAAAGACAAGAAAGAGAAAAAGGTTTGTTGGTTTCAGGTTTTATACACCGATAAAATATGACGACTTTGCAGCAACTCAAAGCAACTAGTTGCAGTCAGTTGCAAGTGTGCTTAGGTCGATCATATCAGCAACTGAGGACAACCAAGAGCAACTGAATTCGGAGCGCTCATGTCAACTCGAAACTGATAGTGATTACACTTAACAAATGACTGTTAATTTATTCATCACATGATCGACAAAATGGTGAATATCTTAGAAGAAGCATCCCAAAGGCATGGTCTGTCTTGCTACAATTCTATTAATATATTATTGTCAACATCAACATTTGAAAAGTGGATGTTTTTGTTCGCTTCCATTTGCTTATTTACAAAGTCACATGTCTCTTATCATGTGATGTTATTTCCATGGAAACGAGTTGACGCCGGTTGTAAGAACGCTCATGTCAACGGAAACTAGTTCCTGCTAGTTGAAGCGATTTTAAGAAAATTAAACATGGGCAACTCATTTCAACAGACTGAAACTAGTTGCTTTGAATTGTAAGAGGTGCTCATGCAGGTCTACATATCAGTTGCATCATAACGTCTGTCATTGAGTCAACTGCCGTGGTTTCGGTTCCCCTGTTGTACGCAACAAGGAGTAGGGTCTCCTGTCCAACCTTGTGATATTTCTCTGTGTCCCCCGGTTTCCTCCCACAACTACTGACCCCTATGCGCAAGCGAATTATTGAAGTAAAATTGAACCATATGTTAGTCCAGAAATGACCTAGTTTGTATCAAATGGACATTAAACCCCATCCCTCTCTCTATCTCTCTCTCACTCTCTCAAGGGAGTAACAATCCCTCAGTGACTTTAATATTAACCATTCTTCTGTTTTCAGATAACGAATATGATGTCGATGATGCAGACGTTATATTCTCATAAACAACAGCAGAAGAAAATCGCGTTAAAACAGGCTGGAGAAAAACGCAAAAAAGAAATCAAGAAAGATGAAAAGAAACGAAATCAGCGACAAAAAGAATTGAAGAAAGAAATATTTAAACAGATCGGACGATCAGAGAAGAAAAAAGACTGAATTTGAAAAACCTGATGAAGGGTTTTATTATAACATGGATTGTATAGTTACGTGGTGGATGTCAATCATGGCCATGTTTGAAAATAGGAATTTGAAAAATATGCTAGTTTTTACGGTTTATAAGTTGACTAATGGACCCTAAGAAATTTCAGTCAATTTTGAAGACAGACGGTCAAGACTAGCATATATGACCGCACGAGTTGAAACCCCATGTTTCTAATCATAACACTCGCGTGTTATATTCTGTCAACTATTGATATGAATACGGACAAATTCTTATGAATGTAAAATGTACAAATAGAGTGTCAGAAATGAAAACTTTTGAAGTTTCTCTTTCAGAAAATGCGACAAATTTAAGTCCAAATGTAGTTGATATCAAAAGTTCTAGAGTTCATTATCCTGTGGTGACTACTGTACCTCCATGGACCATCTTATTATACACATAGCTTGAAAAAAAATAAACTGAAGCTCCAATATTTTAAATATTCAAAAACAAAATTACCAAAACACTGGTAATTAAAAAATGGAAGCGAGCATTGTTCACAAATTGCATGCCACAAATATTTTTGTCTTTAATTGACTGACAGCAATATCAAGTGGTAATACTTTTATACATGTCATTTTGTGTAAATGACTTTGTTCAAGTGTGTTAGTCCCAAAATGACCTAGTTTGTGTTGAGTGGACGTTAAACCCCATTTCTCTCTCTCTCTTGTTCAAGTGTGCATATTGAATATATGTACATATGTTTTGTGTAAATGAATTATATCTAATGTGTATATTGAATTCATATTACATCATGAAAATATAGATAAAATACTTATTATAAATACATATTTATGTTAGGGGGCGTTGGGTGGCCAAAGGGTTAATGTGTGCGCGTTGGATTATACGGTCTGTCAATTAGTCAAGTGGCGTGATTTCGATTTCCCGGCTTGTATAAGACAAGGAGTAGGGTCGCCTGTCCAACTTGGTGGGTTTTCTCCAGGCCCCAAGTAAATTCTTAATGTAAGTCTGAGAATGCTTTGTAAACTTGGGACCAGTTCCTCCGGTTTCCTCCAACTTCTAAAGACCCCTAACGCAAGCAAATTATTGAAATAAATTGGAATGACCAAGCTTGTGTTGAGTGAATGTTAAACCCCATTTCTCTCTCATATTTGTTTATTAACCCTTTAACACTTGGAGTTCCGTAAATGAAATGAAATGGGGTTTAACGTCCTACTGTTCTGCTCCGACTGGGCTAATGAAGACAAGCATATGCCATACAGTGTGCTATGAGGAAAATTTTGCCCAGACAGTGGTACCACGACCTACTCATATCTAATTCCAACTGTCAAGGGATCTTTTACGTGCACGCCAATGTGTACACATGACCTCGGTTTTTGGTCCCATCCGATCGACTAGACAACTATCCTTGTGAGGCCCTCCGTCCTGCATCACTAACAAGGGTAAACCATGCCGTACAATCTGGATGAACTTTCTCGGCCAATGCAGGGATCAAACACCCGACCTCCAGGCTAGCGAGCCAGCGTCTTACCCACTTAGCCACCATGACCCCCGAAAACCAGTATGAACTGTATCCTTTCTCTAATTTGCTTCAAGCACTGTAAACTAAAATTATAAGTTGTGTGATTTCCCTCCAGATACATTGGATGTGGTATCAGGTGTTTTATTAGGTATACCCTGCCTCATGCACAGCACTATTTACAGCCAGACTTGTAATAATGGCACACTGTTGGGGTTTAAGGGAGTTGCTGACATGGATAGCTTTAATACATCCCAAGGGGAAGTTGAGTACATAAATACATGCAAAATCGTATACGCCAAGCACCATCACTCTTACTTAATTAAAGTTATGCTTTCTCCAAAGTCTTGACCAATCAAATAGCTTCTCTCTGATTTATCTAGGCAGAAAATATTTACCTATTGAACATCTACATCAACCCAAATTCTTGATCAATCAAATAGCATATTTATTAGCAGAAAATGCACCTTACAAACATCTACTGACAGATGAACCTACTCAAATAGTCCCCTGCTTTCTTATAAAAGGTGAGAGACAATTATGAAACATGAAAAACTTCATATCGTTGGTAAAGTGTCAAAAGGGTAAACCTAAGATTTTCTAAAGATTAAGAAATAAAACCTTTTGCATTTCAAAATTTCATCAAATCAAGATACAACATTTGGACACATAATATCCAGAACAGTTCTAATTGGCGTAGAGATACACAGCTTAGACAGAAATGTGCATTTTAATTGGGAGATTTTAAAAATGCAAAAAAGTGTATTTGACTAATTTCCCCGAGATACACCCTTTTGACACTTCACCGACGATATGTTAGTCTCCAATTGGCCAATGTGTTGACTTTACTCCATTTTCTTTGGTGCTGAGTTTAACAAAATTACTCCAAGAACTCCAAATTTCAAGTGATACATTATTTACTATATGAAATTCTGCTGTCTAACTACAATTAGCTTGAGAACACACACCAAGCTATTTGACAATGATTTTAGTATACTTTGAGAATTTTCCCAAGTAGTTATTCTGTTTCCATTTAATAAAATTGAAAAAGTGTATTTAGTCTTAGCGTGTATGTGAAACAGAGTAGAACTACATTCCGAAATAGTAGGTGTAGGCCCCTATATACTAATTGTTTAATATGGCCGCCAATCAGGGCAGAGATTTTTTCCGAAAGCAGATATTTATCTACATCTTCAAGAAAAAATAAATTCTTTAAGTAACAAATAATTTATTTTATAAAATATAAATTAACAAATTTACATTTCAATCTTTTAGAATATTTTATAATAGACAGGTTACATAGCACTACAATATTACTGCAATTATATCATTTTCAAATGAATTGTTAGTAACTAAATGAATTTTACTTTTCTCAAATAAAACAAATGTAGTTCATCTTATTATCGAATACTTAAACTAGATATAAACAAGCCAACAGTGAAGCTAATATCCCATGATGTTAAACCAGCCTACAATTAGGCTGATTTCACCTAAAACTAGATATAGACAAGCCAACAGTGAAGCTAATATCTCATGTCTTAACCAAGAATAAACTAAGCCTACAATGAGCCTGATATCCCCTACCTTGATCACAACATAAAATAGTGAGGCTGTCTCAATCCCAAAATAGATGATATTCATTTAATTACATGCTCGTGTATCTTTTTATAAAACAATGACCAATCAATGTTTTCTTATAATTGATGTAATAAATGGCCATTAAATTCCATTTGTAATGAAGTAAAAAGCTGTCATTATTGATGTAACCAGTCATTAAATTTCATTTTGAAATGAGGTCAAAGTCAGATACAGTCATTTTGTAAAGAGGTATAAATCAGATACAGTCATTTTGTAATGAGGTCATTTACACATTAGATAGTCATTTTGTAATGAGGTCAAAGTCAGATACGGTCATTTTCTTCCTTGATTCACAATTTATGTAGAACTAGCTTGCCATCATTGTTTTCCTGGCTAATTATCAAATTCTGATGAATATTGATTCTATTTCTTATGAGAGTAGAAACCTTTTCCAGTCTTCATACCAAGATTACCCTCACTGACAAGTTTATTAAGGAGTGGGCTAGGCTGGAAAAGGGGATTCTCTGGAAACTTCTCATGCCAACCTGTAAACATACAAAAAGATATTTATCAATACAAGAAATATAAGACATTTTCATAGAAGGCTTGATCTCGCTTTAACTACGTACATCTTATCAAGGCCTTCACGTAATACCCTGCATATTTCGGCACAAATTTCAATTGGGTACAATCCCAGCTGGTGAGCTTATCAGATTCCTCGATCGTCGTGAATACCAAGTCTCACGCTTTCAAGCTAAAATGTCTACCTGTGATAATCGAGTTGCAAAGTTCAAGGTTTGTTCAATGTCAAGGTTTCCATGGAGGTCGTGATGTCACAACCTTTGACTGGACGCTAATGTTCACGTGTCTGTAGATAACGTTGCTATAAGTTCGGGAATTGTGAAATAATCTAGCAACATCCAGATGTTGTAAAACTTGTAGTCGTTGCTTTAGGAACATGATGATCCGTAGGCTAGCAGACGACATAAGTTATATCTGACAATCATGTTTATGAAATGAAATGGAGTTTAACGTCCTACTGTTCTGCTCCTAACCTGGGCTAATGAAGACAGGCATATGCCATACAGTGTGCTATGAGGGAAATTTTGCCCGGACAGCGGCACTACGGCCTACTCTTATATCGAATTCCAACTGCCAAGGGATCTTTTACGTGCACAGCTATATGTGTACCCAGGATCTCGGTGACATGTCCTTCTAATATAAATAAACAATCTGATTATAACACAGATCCTATTTCCTTTCGTTTTTTATGGTTCAAAATTTCCTTTTACTTGTCTTTACTACACTAGGATCTGGAGGAGTTGTTATCATTGACGTGTTCTGGATGATGTGAGGGATTAGCCAATGAAACGGCCTGTTACGGCGAGTTCTTGGCCTTTTAAAGAACGGAACAATGGGTAAACCACTAGAAGCGTCAACGCTGATTGATTAATTAATGTCCGATGTCATAGGGTCAAAAGCTGCTCGTTTTACCCCTGACGTGAACTCCTACTACCACCGGTCAGATATTCATGTAGTGTAGGTCATCGAAGGTATAAAAAAACAAAACGAAATATAAATCTGTATTTTAACCAGATTGTATAAATAAAAGACATTACCATCAATAATAAATTTTGTTGTGTCGAGACCAACATAATCAGCCAATTCAAATGGGCCCATGGGATACCCAGCACCTAGTTTCATAGCTGTATCAATATCTCGTGGCGATGCATCTCCTGTAAATAAATAGTCAGCTTTAAGTAACGATGCATCATTTGCATTTTTCGGAAAATATCAATGCTAATATGTGATTGTTTCACATTTAATTAACCCCTTAACTGCGTAGTTTTTAAAACGTTAACTACCCCCTATTGCGTAATTAATTTGACGAAAAACGTCATTTTGGACCTTTTCATTTCTGAATACAAAATTTGGTAGTCTGAAACCAAATTAAAACTAACAGTAAATAGAGTTGTCGTCTCCCTTCAATTAGATTTCCTCGACCAGGCGTAATATAACGTCTTACACATGCTGCGATCGTGTTCGAAGAATAGGTTAGGGAAAATACCTCCAGGACGTTATATTACGTCCTACACACGGTGAGTGGCAGTTGTCCAGGACGTTATATAACGCCCTACACAGTTAACGGGTTAAAAAAACAAAATGAAAATGCCAACACTAGATAACCTCCAGTATTGGATTCAGTCGGATTAAGAACAGGCCTGTCAATTTAGTTTGAGGCAAATAGGGAACAGCATAGATCATTGTAGCTTGCAAAAGATGATCAGAGACTATAACTAAGTATTGTTCTACATAGATACACTGACCCAACATATTTTATCATGCCTTGATGAGAGAGAGGGAGAGAGAGATTAACGTCCACTGACACAAACTAGGTCATTTCAGGACTAACATATGGTTCAATTTTATTTCAATAATTCACTTGCGCGTTGGGGTCTTTAGCAGTAGGAGCAAACTGGAGAACCCGGAGAAAACCCATGAGGTTAGACAGGCACCCCTACTCCTTGTCTGCTTGATAAAGACTAGAGAGCCTAGTCGAAACAGTAAAATAAATACAGCTGGATATAAGCTTCAGACATTTGGTCATAGATGCTTCTCATACACTGTACCAAACCTATGGAATTCATTACCCTTTGACCTTAAAGAATTCACAATCGCTTGGCTGTTTTAAGAAGCAATTAAAGACTCATCTTTTTTTCGACTGCTTATTAGTTGTTAACATTAATTGTGTTTTTATCTTGTGATAAGCGGAGAGCTAAATGCACCTTGAGCATTAACTTTAATGGATCTGTGCGCAATACAAGAACTCACTATTATTATTAAGCTTTCATATGTATTACATATGAAAGCTTATTGTTTCTGTTAAGATTATTATTATTATTTTTTTTTTTTGTGTTTTTCCTGCAAATCTTATATCTCAGAATCTAACCGTGGGATCTTTCTGAAACTTTGACCTACCCCCCCCAAGAATGGGTGGTGGCTTTGGAATAGGTATGTTTTCAAAACGTTTTACACATCCGAAATCACCGAATTTTACGAACGAATGCATTTGACCTACATTGCTGTAACTTTGTGACTTTTTGACCTATTTTACTAAAAAAAAATTCTTTGAGTATCTTGAATCATTTACTTCAAATCTGCAATTTCGGATTTTTCGAATTTCAAAAATTTGTCGCTGTGATTTCGAACCGGAAGTTAAAATCAACTTGACAACTTCTTTAATAGTTGCACGATTTTCATGAAATTCAGTATGTAAGTAGATCTTACCGATAAAACTTCAAAAATGTCATTAGAAATTTTCTGTATTATCTCCCCTTGATGAAATTAAGGATCAAAGTTTTAAAAAAAATCGACGAAATATAGGTCCGATTGCCGTGAAATTGTATTTCTTTACTAGTTACGACACTACTGATTCGAACACAAAATATGGAGTTTGTAGCCCAAACCGGAAGTGCCACCATCTTGAAATGTGAAATATTGCTAAGGCTTTTTTGATATTTTACTTACAGACAAGGGGATTATATTTTCCAAATCCTTGAAGGAAAGCCCATAAAATGTAGGCAGTAGAATTTTGATTTAGGTCAACTGATGGACGCCATTTTGAATTGAAAATGAAAAATAGTGAAAAATCCACATTAATGGGCTTGAAAACATACACAATTGGTCGTGACTTAGAGAATGTGTCTCCTATTACCGAAATTATTACATTTCAGGATAGCCTGGATCATGGTCGCATGTTTGGTATTTGAATATTTCAAAAATTCGAATTTCTTCTTTGATGTTTTCCGTGCCGACAAGGTTGTTTTCGAGTTTAGCTGGTTTTGTTTTTGCGCATGCGCTACACAGGAACCAATGGTACCGCGAGTACTAAATTCCGGCGAGCAACTTTTCACGTTGATACCTAGGTACCGTGAAAATTTCAAGGTGATACCTGCATTCGTTCAAGTCGTTTGTTATGTCACCTGCCTTTCGTCGTTTTTTTTTCTAAGTCAATTTACGGCTTCCATGAGGGGAAAAAAGTGGAATTTCGCCGTGACACCGGCACCGATTGTCCGAAAACCATGAAATTTGGACACAATACGCCCATTACCACCCCGGACTCTGTGCTTTAACCCCATTTTGATCCCATTAAAAAAAAAGAGTTTTAGCAAAAAACGATTTTCGGAATTTAATATTGGTTTTAACCCTGTAATACCCAGACATGATATACATATTATTATAATCCCTTTGAAATATTTTAATTATTTACTGCTATAATATGAATTATCACTTATTCCCCGTTAAATAAATATCGGTCATCGGGTGCAGCTGTACAACTTGAAGGACCCTGGCCTCAAGTCAATTTACGGCTTCCATGAGGGGAAAAAAGTGGAATTTCGCCGTGACACCGGCACCGATTGTCCGAAAACCATGAAATTTGGACACAATACGCCCATTACAACCCCGGACTCTGTGCTTTACCCCCATTTTGATCCCATTAAAAAAAAGAGTTTAAGCAAAAAAACGATTTTCGGAATTTAATATTGGTTTTAATTAATTTTGAAATTGCAAATGCAAAGAGATTTTATCGCCTCTTCCGTATGTTATAGGTATTGGTACTATACACATTATCCATAAAAGCCAATTTTTTAAAATGACCGTAACGATGTATCAACACTAGAAACCGAAATCGCCTATTTTGACATTTTTTGACTGCTGAGGCATCCTTCCGGTGGTCCAAATCTCTGGAATTTCTAGCGGTTGGCTGCGCCGCGATGATATTTATCACACATTAAATTGAGAAAATCCTCAGATATCAAGAACAATAAAAATTCGATAAAGTACGGCAATTTTTTAAGCAAAAAACCTTTGATTGTTGGGGGTGGGTTTCGAATTTATTTTGAATGTTCTCGGAATCCAACACTCTTCTATTTTTAATATGTGATAGCTAGAATCCCAAGGTACATTCTGTGCAAATTTGAAGGCAATCGGAGCACAGGAACGTTGCCTGGGCAGAGCAAATCAACCCGGTTGCGAAAATTTGCTCATTCTTCAAAGTTATTATAATATTGTGTTATGACCGCCATCTTAGATACACCGTCACTTACCAAACCACTCCGAAATATACCCAAAATCCCCAAATCGACCATAATTTCTTTTAACTTCGCGCATGCGCCGCGCTGGAACCAAAGGTACCATTACTACCAAATTCCGGCGAGGAACTTTTGACGTTTGTACCTAGGTGCCCTGAAAAATTCAAGGTGATACCTGCATTCGTTCAGGTCGTTTGTTCCTCACATGGTTCCTGCCGTTCGGCTTTTTCCGCGATTTACGGCTTCAGTAAGGGCGAAAAAAGAGGAATTTCGCCACGCCACGACACCGGCGCCGATTGTCCGAAAACCATGAAACTTGGATACAATACGCCCATTACCACCCCGGACTATGTGCCTTACTCCCATTTTGATCTGATTAAAAAAAAAAGAGTTTTAGCAAAAAACCGATTTTCGGAATTTAATATTGGTTTTAATTAATTTTGAAATTGCAAATGCAAAGAGATTTTATCGCCTCTTCCGTATGTTATAGGTATTGGTACTATACACATTATCCTTAAAAGACAATATTTTAAACTGACCGTAACGATGTATCGACACTAGAAACCGAAATCGCCTATTTTGACCTAAGTCGACAATTTTTGTTTTGTATTTTTCCCATTTTGTTCATAAGATAAATGTAATTTTTCAGATACCTGATGACATTTATACTTATTGTTTCAATAGATTCTAATAAACCCCTTTGCAGTTAATATGAAAGCTTTCATATCTGCTATGCAGATCTAGTTATTATTATTATTATATACAACTCAAGAGCTGTTCAGGCACGTTCAATTGTATTCCATTGAATTGTATAAATAAGCTTGCTAACCTCTTTCCATGAGTCTTACTGCTTCCAGCATATAAGGTACCAATAATCTATTAACAATAAACCCTGGTGTATCCTAAAATATAATATAAATACTTAGATAACCCTTATAGTTAGTTCTACCTGGTAAATACCAGGAAAATATAATATAAATAGTCACATACATTGTCTAACTTAAATGTAATATAAACATTGACTAACATAATCTATTAACAATAAACATTGATGTATCCTAAAATATAATATAAATAGTTAAATAAACATTATAGTTCTACCAGGTGTATCCTAAAATATAATAGAAATACTTAGATACATAGTCTAACATAATTAGGACTGAAAATGACCATTATAGTTCTACCTGACAAAATGTCAAGACTCCATGGAACCAGTACCTCAACAATTTGGACTTGAGCTAAAGATGTATTAATGACATCAATGAATTCACTCAAAAAAAGTCAAATCTGTTTCTAACAATGTGTCTTACTTGCAGGAATGTTTGCAGTATGTTGCCAAGATTTCTTAGATGTTGCAAATACGTATGATTATCCTAACAATCCCAAGAGGCTAAAAAATTCTGGACCTACGAACATTTAAAATAAAATAAATATGTTTAATAATAATCTTACCTTACATTCTACTGTAACTTTACCCATAGCTTTACCAAAATCTACTAATGATTTAAATGTTTCATCACTTGTATCCGGGGTACGGATAACCTGACACAAATAGAAATTAACAAATATAGAGGGGGAAAGGGGATTCATCATCCACTCAACACAAACTAGGTCATTTCGGGAGTAACATATGGTTCAAATTTATTTCAATAATTCGCTTGCGCATAGGGGTCTTTTGCAGTGGGAGGAAACCGGAGGGCCTGGAGAAACAGGGTTCCCGCGGCTTTGTCAAACATTTTTTCAAGGATATTCAAAGATAAATATACGTCAAATTCAAGGATTTTCAAGGACATTTTTTAGCCTAAAGTTACAATTTTTCATCTTAAAAATAACCAAAACATTACCAACTATCGTTATAATCTCATATTTAAAAGGAATTGAAGACATTTGAAATAAAATTAAGGATCTCAACTGAAATTCAAGGATATTTTCCTATTTCCGCAAAATTCAAGGATATTCAAGACCTTGAAAATGAAATTTTAAATTTAAGGATATTCAAGGATTTTCAAGGACCGCGGGAACCCTGAGAAAACCCACGAGGTTGGAAGGCGACCCTACTGCTCGTCACGTACAAGCATTGAATCGAAACCCTGCCAGGTGACTCAATGACAGATGTTATGATCCAACACGCACATGTTAACCATTTGGGGCAAAGGAGTCGTTTACCAGTTGGAGGAAACGGGAATCTTAATAAAGATAAACTAGTTGATATCAAAAAATACAAAATTGATGTTTAAAATGAAATGGGGTTTTACATCCTACTTATTGGACATTTGTAAAGGGTTTAAGAAGCGTAAAAATGTCCCGTTTTATTCTGTACAGCAGGACTAAACTATCTTCCACTACTCTAGATATGTTGTGTCCCCCGTCCTAAATAACAGCTTTAAAAATTCTTCCTCTATGCTTCTTCGGGGCTACGGTGGCACAGCGGGTGAGACACTGACTCGCTAGTCTGGAGGTCCCGGGTTCACTCCTAGTGCTGGTCGAGAAAGTTATCAGGATTTTCCGGCATGGGTCCCCCTTGTCAGTGGTGCAGGACGGAGGGCCTGACAATGACAGCTGTCTAGTTGTTCAAATGGAATGAAAAACCAAGGTCCTGTGCGCACATTCGCATGTACGTAAAAGATCCATTGGCAGTTGGAATTTGATATAAGTGTATACCGTAGCGCCGCTGCCCGGGCAAAATTTCCCTCATAGAACACTGCATGGCATATGATCGTCTTCATTAGTCCAGTCAGAGCAGAACAGTAGGACATTAAACCCTATTTCATTTCTATGCTTCTTAGAGGTCTATTCTCTTCAAGATTAATAAGTTTGTTTCGACTAACCTCCACTAGTTTCATCATAGGTACAGGATTAAAATCATGTAATAACGGTCAGCTCTTTATCTAAAGCCCGGCCCATACCGCCACGACTTGCCCAGACTCTATCCAATGCAACGTCTTGTCTCAGATAATCAGTGCAGTGTGGACAGTCCCACGACCACAATTCAATCGATTTCCGTCGCGTCGTGGCCTGTCGGCCCGATTGAACATGTTCAATCGTAGTCGGATGCAGTTGGTTGCAGTCGTAACTTATCGTGTTTGTGTGGACACTCACACGACGCGATCAATTGGCAAAATATAATGTCACTTTTATGCTTCCGGTTTACTTTTGGAATCACTCGCTAGAGGGAAGTGGCGTAACTCACGACGCATAATCTGTGAGAGTCGGGCCTGTGTGGACTGATACCGTCGTTGGCAAGTGAAGTAAAGACGCGACCCTATTTTGTTTTACAACTACCCAAGACGCGGAGTCCTGTTGGCTTGTGTGAAGTCGTAGCGGTATGGGCCGGGCTTAAATTTACATAATGTGTCTTTAATACGTTTGTTTCGACTAACCTCCACTAGTTTCATCATAGGTACGGGATTAAAATAATGTAAGCCACCAAATCTGTCTAAACGTTTCGTTGATGCTGCTATATCACCGATTGGTAGAGACGATGTATTACTAGCAAATATTGTATGTCTGAAACACAAATATGATAATTTTAAAAAAGTTGTTATTCCATAAGCAGCTTTATATCAAAAATCTCCCCGAATGACAAAACACATAATTAGACTTACTGACAGACACCCCCTCCCCCCAACTGCAAGTGTGCTATGAGGGCAATTTCGCTTTGGACAGTAGGTTTTCCACCCATACTTCTTCCGATTCCAACTGCCAAGGATTCTTTATGTGCATGCTAAAGTGTACAAAGGGCTTTGTTTTTTGTGTGAAATGAAATGAAATGGGGTTTAACGTCTTATCCCGAATGGGCATACGCCAAACAGTGTGCTACGAGTTAAATCTTACCCAGACAGCAGCTCCTTGGCCTACTCTTTTATCGAATCCCAACTGTCAAGGGTTCTTTTATGTGCACGCAAATGTGTATGGGACCTTGGTTTTCCGTCCCATCTGAATGACTAGACAGCTGTCCTTGTCAGGCCTCCATCCTGCACCACTGACAAGGGAAAACCATGTTGGAATTGTTTTTTTGTACCATACGAATGACTAGTAACTGTTCCTTGCAAGAACCAATGTCCGACGGAGCCATCATGGCTGCTTCACTTGATGGAATTAAGTTTACTATAAAATTATACTTACTGTGGAGCTGCTTCGTCTAATGATTTAAAAAGTTTTTGTTTAACATCGAGATTTTCTACAATAGCTTCAATAACTAAATCGGTATTAGCTGCTGGAACAGTGGGATCAGTCTCGGTTTTAATTCGACTAATGATTTCATTAATAAACGATTCACCTCCCTACAAACAAAACAGGACAGAAATTATTGGAGGAGAGAGAGAGAGAGAGGGGGCGAGAAATGGGGTTTAACGTCCACTCACATAAACTAGGTTATTTTGGGACCTTAAGCTATCACATACGAGAGAGAGCGAGAGAGAGAGAGAGAGAGGTTTAACCTCCGCTGGATACAAACTAGGTCATTTTGGGACTAACACATGGTTCAATTCCATTTAAATAATTCGCTTGCACGTAGGGTTCTTTAGCAGTGGGAGGAAACCAGAGAACCCGGAAAAAACACATGAGGTTGTGACTCAATGACAGACGTTATGTTGCAATGCACACCTTAACCATTTGCCCCCCCCACACACACACACAAACACAGTTCCTTGCAAAAAATTAAAAATTTGAGAAATGAAATGAAATGGGGTTTAACATTCTACTGGGCTAAAGAAGACGAAGAAAATTAAAGAAAAGTGATTTTTTTTAAATACTGGTACAGTCCAGGTCTACCTTTGGATCATCTGCAAATTTTTTCTTGGCCACCCTCTGCAAACTTTTGTTCATGTTAGCCATTGATTTACTTAAAATATCATCTGTCTGGTCAACCAAAGCTACATTATGACCTGTTGCCGCGGCTACCTGAAATTATAAATGTAATGATGTTTACTCTCCTGTCAAAACACGTCAAAGAGAAACAAACTGATAATTCTGGGATTGACATCATTAGAATTCTATTTCAATATTTCGCCTTGGTGCATCCGGAGTCTTTAAGAGGTAGAACCCAATGGAATCTAGTAGGTATGTGAAGCTTGGCATCGACATCATGCCACCTGACAAAATGGCAGACATTATGATCCAAAGTACATACATGTATTAGAAATGAAATAGGGTTTAACGTCCTACTGTTCTGCTCCGACTTGGCTAATGAATGCGGGCATACGCAATACAGTGTGCTATGAGGGAAATTTTGCCAGTACAGCAGTACAACTACCCACTCTTATATTGATTTCCAACTGCCAAGGGATCTTTTAAGTGCCTGCCAATGTGTACACGGGACCTCCCAATCACTATATGTTGTCCCTTGCCAGACTCTCGGTCCAGCACTACTGACAGGGTGAACCACATGGTAAATTTCTGATGAACTTTCTCGGCCAATGCAGAGATCTAACACCCGACCTCCAGGCTAGCGAGTCTGCGTCTTACCCACTTAGCCACCATGGCTCCCAGTGCATGTTAGGCCATTTGGCGACCCTGACGACAATCCTTTTGAGACTAACATTAACACAAAGAGTCTTAAAAATGGTAACATAGGATCTATATTATTAATTCATTGTGGAAACATGACAAAGATCAGGTGCTAGAGGTGTAAAATAGTTAACAGAATTTAAAACCTTGTCAAAAGTGCATTTCCTGCCTTATGCATAACACCAGAAGTGTGAACAAGTCGTGGAACCTCAAGTTCGAGTCGAGTCCCAAGTTGCCGAACCTCAATTCCCAAGTCACTGACTTTAATACGGAGTCGAGTCGACTGCCAAGTCTTCACAAAGCCCCGAGTCCTGTTCAAGTCGCCACTTCATCAAATTAGTTAGCAATTCGTGACGAATAACGTAAGTTTGAGATATGCCACCACCCCGCGACTTGAGTCCTAAGTTCTTTCAAGTCGTGAGTCTAGGGTCCAAGCCGAGTCCAAGTCGAGTCTCGGGTCGCAATAAATTATAAATTTTTGAGCAACATTTAATTGCAATTTAAACCTTAATTAGCTTTAGTCTTTATAATTCATAATCATAATTTTAAACATGAATGTCAATGTATTTATATTTTTGTAAAATAATTGATGGGGGGAAATAAATTTCATAAAATAAACTCTGGCTTTATATTAATATTATTAGGTAAGGCTGACCTTAAAAATATCTTTGTTTCGCCTAACGCGACCGACTAACTAAAACCACCCCCGACTTAAATTATTTTATTGCACTTTTCCGCGATCTTTTTATTTTATTTTGTGTGTCAACCTGAAATATATCACGAGAGTTATTTCCCTTTACTATGGCTATGGTTTGATTCATTATTGAAACTGGTTGATCAAGACGAAAGCATCATAGGTGTCGCTTCTCAACAAAATGGTTGCAGACGAAAGCACGTCCATTCCCACGAAATGATTCTGCCTCTATTTTTCTCAAAGAAGGCACAACCCGCACGATCGTTATAAAACGTGTTGAGGGAGTTTCAAACGTCAGTTTGTGGCAATTCGTGTGCGAGTCGTGCATCACGAAAAATCCCGATGTCATTGATTTGTTTGCCAATAAAAGAGCGAATGTTTGCACCCGGAAAATTATCAAGCTGCCAAATTAGCTCTTAAAAAAAAATCTGAAAAAAAAACCGACCTACCGACCCCTCTCCTCGATTGTGGGTCGGGTTTGGTGAAACAAAGATATTTTTAAGGTCAGCCTAATTATGCATATTTTTATTGAATAAATAATGTTAGATATTAAAAAAGACAAGCATTAAATTCAACGCTCTTTGTCTTCTTAATATTCGTTTGGGAGAACCATGGACCTTATAATACTTTATTATAATGTATTATAAGGTCCATAGGAGAACGTCTGACTCTGAAGAAAGGGTCCAAAGTTCATGATAAAAAAAATCATGTCAGCTATTTATGCAAGGTTTGCCGAGTCCATGTCATTTCTGAAAAATGCATCTTAAAAATTTTAACCTGGGCAATACCCGAACCCATCAAGCCGCTACCAATAACTGTCACGTGTTTTATCTGCGCCATAGCTGACGAGCTGGAAGAAAAACTTCGGCTGAAAACTTGAAGAAACTGAGCCATGTTTTCTGCTCTTTTGACTATCTTCGTCTCACTGAAAAGAAGAGCTCGGTAATGTAGTCTTTAGCATCCAGACTCTTCGTTATCAGTAGTCTTGTTAGACCAGTCCCTTTCCCGGCCGTGGTAATCAAGCTGTCCAGGTAAAAATACAGGTGAAATTTCTGTACGCATGCGTAGACGTACAGGTAGACTGCTTCAAAGAATTATGGGACAGGAAAGCAGCCATTTTTAACCTAAATGAAACCGTTAGATTATTTTTAACTAAAACAACAGGATGAAGGAAAAGACTTTGGATAAGGACACAATTGTAGCGTACCACAGTTTCGTTCAGCAGAGAATCAGAAGCGATTTAAATGGATTAGCAATTGGTCCAGGATGGATACCTTGCAGATTAGGCTTATTGTTTGCAATATTCTCTTTTCTTAGTCTAATCACAGGTAAATATTTGGGTTGACATTATTACATTATGAGTCATATACAAGTATGTCATAGTTGTAGATTCTATCTAATAAACATTATAAAATAATTAATTAAATAGTATTTGAAGATAATTAAAATAGAGTCCCCTCCCCACCCCACCCCCCACACCAAAAAAAAAAACAGATAAAAAAAAAGGATACTAACTAAACATTTTGAAAAAAAACCTAAAACTAAAGGTGACCGATATCGAACTCGATTACATGTCATTTCGGTCCGAACTGTCGTCCACATGAGTCCGAAAGGTTGCCTGTGCTGAGTCTGAAATGTCATCTTACTATGATCTGAGGGTTACAGGGGTTTAAAAGTGCAGAAAAGTAGGCATGTTTTTCATATATGTAACCATATAATAGCTCAGTATCGTTGACCATACTACTACGTTCAAGTCAAGAAAATTCTGGAAATGAAATGGGCCCGGTTTAACGTCCTACTGTTCTGCTCCTACTGGACTAATGAAGACAGGCATACGCCATACAGTGTGATACGAGGGAAATTTTGACCAGGCAGCAGCACTATGGCCCACTCTTATATTAAATTTCAACTGCCAAGGATCTTTTCGTGCACGCCAATGTATACACGGGTCCTCTTTTTTTTTGTCCCATCCGAACGACTAGACAATTGTCCTTGTCAGTCCAAGAAAATTCTGTACGGTACAAAATTATGATTGTCCTGTATTTTTTACCTGTTGATTTTGATTAGTTCACAGTTTTCATAACTTGTTAGCGACTTCTCCTCATCTGTACAGTCAGCAGAGACTACATGTATCATTTCATTCAAAACATATGAAAAAAAACTCCAGCTGACCCAGTCCCTTTTCACGCGGTGTATTTTTGGGTCGTTTTGACTAAATTATGGCTGCTTTTACCAAAGCTTTAGCCATTTTGACCAAATTATCTGGATTTTGACCAATGTGAATTTTTGCCTTTATATGTCATGGCCGTTATTACCACATCCATTTTACTCACCTATTTGGGGATCACGGTGACTAAGTGGGTAAGACACTGGCTCGCTAGCCTGGAGGTCGGGTGTTCGATCCCTTGCATTGGCCCAGAAAATTCACCCAGATTTTCAGGTGTGGTTCCCCCTTGTCAGTAATGCAGAAGATTCCTCGAAGGTTGGAATTGGATATAAGAGTAGGCCGTAGTGCCGCTGTTCGGGCAAAATTTCCCTCATAGCACACTGTATGACGTATGTATGCTCATTAGTCCAGTTCGTAGCAGAACAGTAGGACGTTAAACCTCATTTCATTTCATTTTACTCACCTATTTGCTATTATATATTTTCAGGTATATTAATTATAGCACTACGTAGTCGCCATGTTTACCTTATTGATTGGTGGGCTCAATTTACGGGTCCCTTCTTTATTATTCTATTCTTATTATTTGCTGGGGTTTCAACGTATCTCATTCTGGCAGCCAAACGACGTTCAAACCTCTACAGACGAGAATTGTTTGTAAGTAATATATTTTTATTCTTTTACACAATTATAACCGGATACAGTCTTGTGTCAAGTTTGTTTGGATTATTTTTGGAGATGTGCGTTCTTCCTACTCCAATTTTATCATTAAGATGCAGTCATGCCTGCACCAGGGATTCTTCCACCCATTTTACATATGTATCTACAATGTAAATAAAATCACCCCCCAGGGCCCTTATTCACGAAAAACTTAAACTAAGATACAATCGAAATTTTAAGAAATACTGCAATTCGATTGGCTGACCAGTAAAATCAATTTGCATATATCCAATGAAGTTGCAGTATTTCTTAAAATTTCGGTTGTAACTTAGTTTAAGTTTTCGTGAATAAGGGCCCAGATATGTGGTATCAAATTATCCAACATGACCCTGTGAATGTTTTAGACCATCGAATTTGGGCCCAGGGCGAAGCCGGGTAGCGTGCTAGTTGTATTTATAGTAAGAGGTTAATTCATACTAGTCGTCGCTTTAAATCAACATTGATGTTGTGATCTTACCGGAAAAAGATAACCTTCTGATATCCAATATTTAAGACAAAATAAACATTTTACAATTGGTACACGAATTGTGTAATGCGTTTCAGCGCTATTTGTAATAAGGGACTCGAAAAATGAGGCTAGACATATTCCACAAGTCATGTCAAAGGGTGACACTCTATTCTTATCTGGAGAGCATGCGCAATAAATACTATCAGCGTAGACTGGAATAAACAGATGCTAGAGATTGAAATTCGATTGAGAATACTGGCTACCAACAATGTCATACTGAATTTTTCTCTACGGACTCCTTTAACTTAACAACCCCTCGCCGATTAAATACATGTATTAACTAAGTTTGAGATATTTTTATATTTTATATTTAGTTCCGTCCAATTGGTGATTTTGGTGTCGCTGTTGTTCACAAGAGCAATCTGCAGTTTGAACAGGAAACAAAGTAAGATTATGTTTATTGATTTAGTTGTTATCCCACTAAAGGTCATGTTTCTGAAGCAACGGCTGCGAGTTTTACAACATCTGGCCGTTGCTTGTTTACTTCACAATTCCCGTACTCATAGCTATGTTATCTACAGACACGTGAGCAGTAGCGTCCAATCAGAGGTTGTTACATCGCGACCTCCACGGAAACCTTGACATTGAATGAACCTTGAACTTTGCAGCTCGATTATCACAGGAAGACATTTTAGCTTGAAAGCGCGAGACTTGGTATTCGCAACGATCAAGGAATCTGATAGGCTCACAAGCTGGGCTTGTACCCAATCAAAATTAGTGCCAAAATATGCGGGGTATTACGTGAAGGCCTTGATAAGATGTACGTAGTTAAGGCGAGATTAAACCTTCTATTGAAAATGACTAATGGTCAGGGCCCTTATTCATGAAAACTTAAACTAAGATACAATCGAAATTTTAAGAAATACTGCAATTCGATTGGCTGACCAGTAAAATCAATTTGCATATATCCAATTTGCATATTGGTCAGCCAATCGAATTGCAGTATTTCTTAAAATTTCGATTGTATGTTAGTTTAAGTTTTCGTGAATAAGGGCCCTGCTCTCACCAATCTGATTAAAATACAGATCTATATTTCGTTTTTTTTATTCTTTCGATGGCCTGCACTACAGGAAGATCTGAGACCTGTTGTAGTGGAAGATTGCATCAGGGGTCATATGAGCGGCTTTTGACCTTACATGTATGACGTAAGACATTGATTAATCAATCAGCTTGATGTTTCTAGTGGTTTACCCAAAGTTCCGTGCACTTCACGCCAAAAACTCGCTGTAATAGACCGTTTCATTGGCTAATCGCTCACAGCAACCAGAATGCGGGTTATATAACATATAATAATCATGATATTGTGGAATGGAATGATACATAGGTCATAATTACTTTACCATATAACAATTGTGATATTATGGAATGATACATAGGTTATAATTACTTTACCATATAACAATTGTCATATTATGGAATGATACATAGGTTATAATTACTTTACCATATAATAATTATGATATTATGAAATGATACATAGGTCATAATTACTTTACCATATAATAATCATGATATAATTCTGGATAGACATCTTCTATTTTACCTTCCCTATTTGCATGAATGTACAGACATCACAAATGGCTATACTGATATTAGCATGGAGGATATGGTAATTTATTTTTTTGAACTCTAATTTCAGACCTGAGTTAAAATCTGGAACTACTCCCCATCGTGGTGTTTTACCAAATTCGGGGGCTTACTCTGAACGAAGGCGGCATCATAGAGAAGGTAGGGAAAATCGTGGTTATGACGATGAGAGGCGGGGTGAGAGACGAGAGAGAGATCCTAGAGATGAAGGTCAGCGACGAGAGAGACGGGAGAGAGATCCAAGAGATGAAGGTCAACGACGAGAGAGACGAGAGAGAGATCCGAGAGATGAAGGTCAGCGACGTCATCGAGATGACAAAGAAAGGAGAGAACGTGATCCAAGCAGAGAGGACAAAGAGAGACGAGATCGAAGGGACCGAGATCGAAATGATCCAAGAGAACAGGAACGAAGAGCTCGAGAACGGAAAGAACGAGAAGCTCGCGGTGAGATGGATCCCAGGGAGAAGGAATACAGAGAGAGAAGAGATCGTGAACGAAGAGAACGAGAGCAAAGAGACCGACCTCCGCCAACGGATGAATCAAGCACAGATCAAGAACAGATCCAGCAGAGATCAGAAGGACGTAGAGGTGGTCGTGGTGCTCCAAAACTTCCAGCAGATTCTAGCGGCTTTGTTCCAGCGTGAGTATCTATTTTTGTAGTGGTAGCACGGGCATTTGCTCGAGAGATCCACTTGGCACAATCTAGGTCATTTCGGGACTAACAGATCAGTTAATTTTATTTCAACAGAAATGAATGAAATGAAATGGGGTTTACGTCCTACTGTTCTGCTCCGACTATGCTAATGAAGATGGCCGGACAGTGGCGTTATGGCCTACTTTTAAACTGAATTCCAACTGCCAAGGGATCTATCTGTTACATGCATGCCAATGTGTACGTTTGACTTCGGTTTTTCATCCCATCCAAAGACTAGACAGCTGTCCTTGTCAGGCCCTTGTACTGAACCACTGACAAGGGGAAACCACAACTGAAAATCCTGATGAGTTTTCTTGGCCAACACATGTTTTTTATCCCATCCAAAGGACAAAACGGTGTTCCTTGTCAGGTCCTCCACCCAGCCCGTCCAACCCCAGTCACATGGCCAAACCCGACCCCGAGTTCACAAAACATTCTCGCATTTAAGTTAAGAATTTACTCAAAATTGTTCGTCTTATTTTAACTAAATTATAGCCCTTTATAAAACTTTTGTTGTTTTAATGTATCAAATACATCAATAAGAAACTATGTGTAAAGTTTTGTGTTTCTGTGTCAATGATATTTCTTATAAACAGTGATTGAAAGTTGAGTACCGGTAAAGTCTTAACTTAAATCTGAGAATGCTTTGTGAACTCAGGGCCAGGGTAAAAAATCTTGATGCAAGGTCTCAACCAACATCGGTATATAATACACACCACCGGGTTAGTTAGTTACTGACCAAAACTATGCCCGGTCGGCTGGATGGCCGAATGGTTAGCGTGTGCACGCAGTATCATAAGGTCTGTCACTGAGTCAACTGGCATGGTTTTGATTCCCCGGTTCTACATGATAAGGAGTATGGTCGCCTGTCCAACCTTGTGGGTTTTCTCCAGGTCCCAGTTTGTGTCAAGTGGACGTTAAACCACATTTCTCTCTCTCTCCTACTTTGCCATATTATTCTAATCAGTTAATCATACATTATGCAACAGCTAAATCTACCTATAACAGGTCTTTTTTTACACCTGAAATGTTATATAAATCATCAGACATTTATTAACATGACAACATCATAATCAAGTCTCTATGCCATCGGATGGCTCCAATTCTAAGTAGATTAGAACATTTCAGCCATTTAATGATTTAATTTAAAAATGGAGAAGCGAGACTAAGACTCAAATGACTACATTGTAGTACGGTGGTTATGATCAATTCACACATATTGTCAAAACTACAACCATTGATAACTTAACTCAAAATAAAGTAATTTGAATGAAATTTTCAATATATTCATTTTGCATTATCTATTTTTGAATATTGTAGCAAGAATGTCCAGCTCTTTATGTAAATCTTACATAATAATATAAAGATGCACAGACTTGGTGCTTTTGGAACGAGTTCATTATTTCTTAAAATATATTTTTTAATGTTTTCACCTTCTTTTATTGCAGGGATCGTGTTGTATTAGATGCAGATTTTGGTCGACCAGCCGATTCATCGTCACGTGCATCTGAATCTGAACTATAAATCTTCATAACATTGCCATATTAATTCATTCCTTTAATATCAGTATATATAAGGAACTCATGTGGGTGTTAGTCTGGCTCCAAGCAGTTAATTATAGTACTGGGGAAAATCACTGTGTATGCAGGACCAGCTAGTGCCAGACTGTTTTGTGCACTAGCCAAGTGCAACTACTTGCTCCCATACCACCGTACGTGACAAGGAGTAGGGTCGCCTTCCAATCTCATGGGTTTCCTCCTACTGTTAAAGACCCCTACGCACAAGCAAATTATTCAAATAAAATTGAACCATATGTTAGTCCCCAAATGACCTGGATTGTGTTGAGTGGACGTTAATCCCTATTTCTCTCTCTCCCTCATACCCCCACCCCTCCCCATTTCTTATAACAGAAGTTTAGTAGCATATCAATCTCTGATTATTTTTCTGAAATACAAAAAGAAAGATTTTCACATTTATCATAATATATTGTATAAAAGGGTCAGTACTGCGCCCCTTTCATATTTGCACCCTAGGCTTAGGTAGCGGCGTTGTTGGCCTAATCAGCCTTAGTGTTTGCTATAAATATGACTAGCCAAAGTTGTAGGTCAAAGAATTGATTTTTTAAAGAAGAGAAATGGATCTAAATGTTAGATAATAATAACTTTTAAATTGATTGTTTTATTTCAATTAATTTCATATAATACAATGAAATATAGCGTACATGAAAAGAGAAAATTCTGGCACATTACTGGAATGTTTTTGTCCCCCGCCTTTCGAAGAAAGCAGGGGACTATTAAAATGGGTTCGTCTGTCTGTCCGTCTGTCTGTCCGTCACACTTTTTGGGACACAATAACTCTCCTTCTAATTGAGCTAGAATGTTCAAACTTGGTGTGGGTGTTTATTAGGCCAATGCCTTGATGGAGTTCGAAGATGAGCATTTTCGGCTTAGGGTAAGCAGAGATAAGCAATTTGATTGGTTGATGCTTTGGGACACGATAACTTTAGTTCTAATTAAGTGAGAGAGATGAAACTTGGTGTATAGTTTCATTACATCAATACCTTGACTAAGTTCGATGATGAGAATTTTCTGCTTAGGCTAACGAGCAATACGCATTTTGATTGGTCACGACTTTGGAACATAACAACTCTTCTTCTAATTGAGGTAGAATGTTTAAACTTGATGTAGATGATCGTCTTGACTGAGTTCAATGATTAACATATCGAGCTAAAGCTAAGCAAAGATAAGCAATTTCCTGCTTTGGGACAAGATTCTATCTGATAGAGAGTGATGAAACTTAGTGTATAGTTGATAATCAGTTTGACTGCTTGATACTTTGGAAAAAAATAGATGTGCGATTAATTAATATGTGTCATCTATTTATTTGGGGATTTCGGCGGGGGACATCAGCCTCACTGTTGGCTTGTTTTATCAAGAATGAATATACTGAAGTTTTGATATAATATGAATATTATCTTCATCCCTCCTTAATTATTGATATCACTCATAATTCCAAGATGGCGGCGTTGACATCATGCTTGATGGCTAAATCTATTTGATAAGGCCAGCTCAATTTTTGTCAAGGTCGTCTAGATGTACATGTAAATAAGGTTAGGGCGCGTGATTGTAGGTTAGGGTTAGAGTAAGCATTGGGGCTAGGGTCAGGGTTAGGATTAGCGCTAGCCCTGTTTACATCTCATGACCTATGACGAAAAATTAAGCTGGCCTTATCATTTAGCACTAACCATGCTTGGTTCCTTGTCCATATATTGTTATTGTACTGTTTTATGCAGAATGCAAATAGTTTTGATATAAAATGCATATCTTCATCCCTCCATCATTAATTGTGGCCTTGTTTTATAAAAAAATCTTCACAGCAAAATGAAGTAAATCTTGATCAATCATTTCATCATCTTCAAACTTTTTGACCCGTCTAGAACTCACCCTGCATACATTATAGAAATTATATTTTCAGGCAAAGAACGCCTGAAAATATGATAAAAGTGCATTTACTTTTAAATTTGAAAATAGAAATATGTTTAAGAATTATATATATCTTAGTCATGAAACCTAAAATAAGGTATTTTAAAGACAATGAACTTTAAGAGAAAAGCAGTGGACACATTAGCCAAATCGTTCGTCCGAACTAATCGGCGCCAAACTTTATTCGGTTGAATGGGTGGACACACTAGACGAAAGCTTCGCCCGATTCACCAGTCGATTGCATCACCTTTTACGTCACATGATTAATGATTAAATGTGGCGGCGACCATGTCTTCAAACAATCATGTGACTTCTCTATAGGAGTGGATGATGAGTGGTGATTGGCTAATTAATTCTACATTTGGGCGATTGCGTCGGTGAATATAATTCGGCCGAATATATCAAACATGTTTGATTCGGGCGAATAGAAATTTGAGTACAATCAGGTAGTCCACGTTAAATTGGCCTGCTTGTTCTTGGGACAATTGCTCAGGTTTATAAAGGTACGCTCCTACATCTTTTAATCATTCCAGTTCTACATGCAAATTTTAAAATATTTTTTAGATATATCATTTTAATTTTTGTTAAGTTCACTAAAGATTCATGTTTTAAAAAATCCCATCCAACCATGTACATTCCATTTTAAGATTATATATTAAGGTATATGAAAGTTTTTATTAATAATACATATTATCTTTGTTTTCACTTGTCAATTCATAAGGTCTTTATATTTATGTTGGTTATATGTTACTTCCTTGCCATATTCAGAGGCGGATCCAGGAATTTTTGCAGGAGGGGGTTTGCCCGATACCTGAGACAGTGTATCTATGGAGTGGGGGGGGGCAGTCCCCCGGCCATGAAAATATTTGAGAAATACATGGTCTTTATCGTTATTTTAGCGTATATACATAAACACTGGGCTTTTTAAAGAGAGAAATCCAACACCCCGTTAAACGTCAATTTTTATAATGAATTAATAGGATCATATTGTGATTTAATTTCATTGATACAAAGCATTAATTATTGTGATATCACACATGTGCTTTGAATGCCCATCCCATCCCAACATCTGACTTTAAAAGATAAAGCGTTAAAAGATAAAGCACACGACCATTCTCATAAAAAGTGTAATTTTACAAAGTTTTTATGTAGCTGAGCAGGAAGGTGTTTGGATACCCTCCCCCCCCCCCCCCCCCCCCCGCAAACTCTGGATCCACCCCTGCTATTCTTTATTAATTAAAATAATGTTCCTTGAATGACATTTAGAAGTAGAGGTACAATATTCATAATAACACAACTTTATGGATTTACTACTTCTTAGTTTATTACATGCAACGTTTCAAGTAAGAGTATTGAAACGTTGCATGTAATAAACTAAGAATTTTTAAATCCATAAAGTTGTGTTATTATGAATTAAAATCATCATTTAAGTATGTAGCCCATAACTTTTTATACTGTTGAATGATTCTAGGGTTTGTAAACTTCTGAGCAATTTATTGATTGGTGATTTCTAAATCTCAATTTTAAAGAATTTATAAACCGGTAAAACACAATAGAGGTCAATTTATATTTTTTGTTTGAAAAAAATTGTGATAATGCAAAAAAGATTGTCATATTCTCTGAAAAAAAAGGTCTTGTTAATCTGAAGAATACAAAATATGTCAAAAATTTACGACCTAGCAAATTTAGAAAGTGAAGGTCCAGTTCAAGACACTGTATTATATTGCGTACTTTGTATTTAATGCCTGTACTGGTAGTTCACCTATGATCATCAGCATTTTCTATTCATCTTTATAGGCCTATCCTGCTTAGCAATAAAAGTTGGCCTTTGTTTTAAAATATATGTAGGCCTAATGATTGTAGATAAATTTATTAATCAACAAAATTTTATAACCAATTTTTTTTATGTAATGTGTATATTTTTTCATTTATTAAAATACTTTTTATATTTATCATTGTGTTGCTATAGATACACTTGGAATTTTATTGAATATAATTTTCTAGATAAACATTGTTTTTTCTCGTCTTCACAAAACCTTGGTCCAACCAAAACATGGTAATGTCTTATGACTATGGTTACATGAATACATGCGAAATGCAAGAGAGGAGAGTTTAGCCCAGAGGCACTGTCCTTGACAATTAATGGGCTAGGCTTGAGTACTGACACATAGAATTCCTTTTTGTCCATACAGGGATTTGAACCTGGGACACTGTTGTCAAGAGTAGGCCTACAGTACCTGGCCTGAATATTACACAACTAGGCCTACTACATAACATGTCGAACCTTGGTTTTGTTTACCGTCCGAACAACTAGACGAAAGACTCAACAAACGGGATTAAACTGGGTAGAGAAACCGGAGTTATTTCCCTTATCATGGAAAGCATGAAACGCACATTATCGATTATGGTTGCAACATTTGAAGTAACATCTCACAAGTCGTTATTGTAGGAATGAAAGAAGGGTGGACAGTTGGTGATTCTTTGATTAGCCTGTTAAAACTGTCATGACAGAACAGAAGCATAACACTGGCTTCTCCGTGGATTGGGTCCCGTCCCCGACCTTTACTCGATCTCTGTGAGTCTGTGGATGCTGGCACGTCATCTCTCTATCTCCTAGCCTAATCCTCGTGTATTAGCAAAAACTCTGGCGAAAATATAACTTTTATGAAATGGCAGTAATTGCCACCTTTCAGAATTTGTGAATGTCATTGGAAGTTTTGAATTAGATCTAAAGATAAATAATTTCATTAACTTTCCCGTTCCGCCAGATGGCGATATCGGCACAATATTGACATGATTATGATTTTGGCCAATCATTTACGTTCTTGTTTACTAAAGGCGCCCTTTTTGATCAGAGAAAGCCGACTTTTACTTTGCGCCAACAACAACTTCTGTGAAAAATATTTTGAAGCAAAATTCCAGAGAAGATATCACAGTGAAGAGAAAAAAGAAATAATCAAAAAGATGTTGGGGAGTGTCAATCTGAAAAAATTTGGTATTAAAGGTATAATTTATTAAAATAGAGAGTCTAGAGTCAGAGAGTAGATCTAGATCTAAGGCGACATAAAAAAAATTAGTTGGTGATCGTACCCACCGGCCCAGAAAATTCTACCCGACCAGAATTTTTTTTTTATTTTTTTTTTTCAAAATTTACCTTCTTACGATGTTTAAAACCAATGGTAAAAGTTCCAAAATGTAGCCAGGCTACGAAATTCCTAATCGCAAGAGTTAATGAAGCGGATATAATTATTGGCACGTGTTCCAATACTCTTCAAATGCGTAGGACTGAATGACATAAACAAATTACGACCTGTTAACGGCAACAATGGCTGACATTTTTGTTTGCACGCGTACAGCACCAAATACAATATTTTGAATACAACATATACAACCTGGAACTATAATGTTAAGATGGGAATACGTCTCGCCGATTCTGAACTACATGAAACAGTCTCTTGAATAAATGCAACAACAGATTTTCGGAATGGCCATGGGGGGCATGAATAACTAAATCAACCGATTATTAATATTAGTGATCGTAAGTCGTTATGCAAAATGTCTTTTTTTTTGTGTGTTTTTTTGGAGGGGGGGGGGCGGGCGGGCTCTTCTGGTCTTACTATTCGCAAAATACAATATTATAAAAGTTGAATGTCTAAAAAGAATATCAGTCCAAAGACATGATATGAATTGAAAATTTTGCAACATTTGATATCCTGCAACATTAAACCAGTCGGCACCACATATAAGTGTTCAGTTATAAATCTCTTTATCTGATTGAATCCAAGGCGGAATATCTCAAGTTTAAATAATTAATCTGAACAATTCAAATGATGATCATGCAGATGAGTTGTGTTTTGACATGAAATAAAAGGTTAATATTCCTGAAGTATATTGCTTATTCTATAGCCTATATTCATTAAAAAAAAACAAAAAAAACTCCCTCCCTCCCACATTTTTTGAAAAAAAAGGACGATCACCAACTATTTTTTTTTAGGTGGCCTAATAATAAATATAAATACTACTACTACTAGCAATAAAACATTTTTGGACAAGCAGTATAGGTCGAGTAGTTTCTTTATTAACTCTTAGACTTAGGAACGCCACGGTCTCAACGCCACGATCTCAAGTGTCTGTGATCCTCGTAAAACGGCGAATGGGGAACGCAAAAAACCCCAGGGATAGTGCGACTTAATATTCCTTTATTTATTCCCTGCATATTCTTTATTGATTCTACTGTAAAAATAAGAACCATTGCCATTGGAAAATTCAGAATAAAACGAAGAAATGCCATGTGTCGACTATAGTCTATAGTCCTACTATATACTGGAAAACAAAATGTGACCATGTTATACCGGAAAACGCCGGAAAAACACTAAAAAAATATCGGAAAACACCCTAAATAGGTAACACAGAGTCTGGTCCTTTGTGTGCGGTTTTTGGTTTAGGGTTAGATTTTTCTGGTATTTAGTGTGTTTTACGGTATTTAGTGTTTTTCCGGTGTTTTCCAGTATTCAGTATAACATGGTGTTTTTCGGGGTTTTCCGGTATATAGTATATAACCCCCATGTGTTGATAGCTTAATTTTACAAGATAGCGTTTATTTTAAATCATTTAATAAATGCCATGTAAAAACATGTCTTCTATTCACTAAATTCATTGAATATTTGTTTATTATTATATGTGTTAATAATTCTACATTGATAAAATAATGTCTTCTATTCACTAAATTCATTGAATATTTGTTTATTATTATATGTGTTAATAATTCTACATTGATAAAATAATAAATATTATTTAAAGTCGAAAAACTGCAAATTATAATGATTATTATTTCATCAGCATAGAATTATTAACACTAAGCGAATGGAATAAAATTCATCCTATCTTTCTTTTCCAGGAAACCTTGACCTAAAAGATCTGGATGACTTGGATATTTCAAAAAAGAATTTTACGGTATGAACATCAAAATGATCAAATTATTTTTTTGAGAATGAGATTGAGAGGGAAACTTTTTATCAAAAGGTTTAAATCTATTCAAATTTCTGTAATTAGAAAATGCCTAAGTTTGCTTGTCATATTTGACATTTGATTTATTCTAGCATGGACTGTATGAAAATCGCAATGTTTGTTTTCTAGGTTTCTATAGAAGGTAACATTGGTTGTGGGAAGACAACTCTGTTGGAATATTACAGAAACTCTCCTAATGTCGAGGTAATTTCTTTTATGAATTTTATATAAGTAATATTAATACTGTTAATCAAAGCAATATCGGTCTATGGTTTGGTGCGTGTGAAAAATATTACAAGTCTGGAAATAAGGCACCTGTCACAGACAATGTCAGACACAGATTCAGGCTTTGTCAGGCACAAAACCTCTGTCCGGCACTGATTTGTCTTTTTTCATTAGTGCTATTTTTCATCCATTCACTTGATTTGATATTTGTTTATTTGGTGCAATGTCTTATTTTCTGTCTTGTCCGCAGGTTTATCTTGTAGATTATTGTTTTACGTGTAGTGTGGTCCTCCTGCACTTACTAGTAGTGCCTGACAATTTGTCAGGTACATCTAAAGTCGTTATTTCCAGGCCTGAATTGATCTGTTGTGTCTGTCATAAATTATTTCTGACGTGTTTTCCCCTTGTCAGTGGTGCAGGATGGAGGGCCTGACAAGGACAGCTGTTAGTCATCTGGATGAGACAATAAACTGAGGTACCGCGTATACATTGGTGTGCACGTAAAAGATCTCTTGGCGTTGTTGTTAGTTAGTTGTATTTTACGTCCGCTTCCACCGAGGTGATATCGTTGTTAGTTAGTTGTATTTTACGTCCGCTTCCACCGAGGTGATATCGCAGACAATATCACCTCGGTGGAAGCGGACGTAAAATACAACTAACTAACAACAACGCCAAGAGATCTTTTACGTGCACACCAATATCTATTCGGTATAAGAGTAGACCATAGTGCCGCTGCCCAGGCAAAATTTCCCTCATAGCACACTGTATGGTGTATTCCCGTCTTCATTAGTCAGAGCAGAACCAGGGCTTGCCACGAGCAAATTGGAGGCGAGTAGATGACTACTCACGCAAATATAGACTTGCGCGAGTGAGGCGAGTACATGTGTTTACTCACGCAGAATGATGTGCGTGAGTAGCCATTTAAATTTCATGTGCCTAATGGCAATGCTCTTGTCACTTCGGTGGAAGCGGACGTTGAATAAAGCTATTTCACACACAATGGCAATGCATACTCTTTTATTTCCTTGGCAGTAATATTAAATCGTCTTCCCATGACAAGAACGTTGCAAGGGAAACTGGGTTTCCCTTTGCCATCGTTGGCGTGCTGAGGGGATTCGGGTAAAGCTTAGAAAGGTAAAAGAACAGGCAAACCAATTTCAATCCCATTAATTTGCAGAAAAGATGCGGGATCGAAAGAATTGCTATAGAAACGACAACATCCGCTCAATTTTTGATTATCCAGACACGGCAAAGGACATCCGCTTAAAACCGCCTGGCAGTACGCGTCTCAAAGTATTTTTAGTAACAACAGGTGGCACTGGAAAGACACGCCGCGTGCGCAATAGTGCATCAATATGAAGGCATACAAATTGTTTACGGCTTTTTCTTATTACGATATTCCATTATTTCTGATTAAATTATTTTTTATATTTGTGTGAGTACTTAATCACTCACATAAATTTGGTTTTACGCGAGTGTAGCGTGCGCGCGAGTAATTTCTCGCGTCTCGTGGCAAGCCCTGAGAACAATAGGACGTTAAACCCCATTTCATATCTCTGTCATAAATTAACAAAAGTAATGAAATGCAATGTCCTACGTGTCTGCACAGACCTGGCTAATGAAGACTGACATGCAGTGTGCTATCGGGGAAATTTTGCCTGGAGACATGTTCTATGGCCTAATGATCTTTTAGAGGCATTTTGTAACTGGATAGAGCAATAAACTATAACACATACTTATGGAAGAACAATTACTGATTTATTTGGGCCAGGTTTTGAAGAGTATTCTCTCAACGTTTTCAAGCAAGTACAGTAACAAATGTGTAGAGCAATTATATATAGACAAGCAATAAAAACAAATCACTGCTAAAGATCTCCTACTCAAAAGCAGATTATTGAAATAAAATTGAACCACATGTTAATCTCTCTCTCTCTCTCTCTGACAAGTCTCTCACTTTCTTTTGTTACCTAAGAATTATGTATATTTGTAGGCTATACCGGAACCTGTGGAACAATGGACCAATGTTAAAGGACACAATGCGCTGGTATGTAAAATAATCATTTCAGAAACAGTCCTTCACATTTATAAAATTGTTGCCAATATCCATAAAAATCTCCTGCCAATTTTAAAAATGAGAAAACGACCTGAGTAAAAAAAACCTCTTCTTAATAATATTGCAAGAGTAATTCTACATTTTCTTGAATTAAGGTAGGGTTGATGATTTTCCGTGATCGCGGAAATCGCGGAATTGTCCACTCAAAACGGAATTTGAAATCTCACACGGAAAAAGACGGAAAAGCCGATATTTGCTAATACTAAACACAAACTCAAAACAATTTTGCAGTTATCCAAGTATTTCATCTTTTTATTCATAAAAATCGGAAATATTGAAAGATATCGCGTGGTTTTGTTACTGTCTATTTTAGTATTTAGCTACTTTCATTTTATCATTTAGGAATCATAATTTTAATCGAAACGAAAACCCGTCTTTCATGTATCCCTGTATACAATTACTCTGTAGTTTAACTTGAATTAAACATTGTAATGTATATATATGTCTTAAAAAGACCTTCTGTCACTTCATAAAAGTAAAAATCATTTCATTTACTTCTTATTTTACAGCCGGGCTCGTGACTCGTGTTTATCTGTTTATCCGCATTAACCACGTGACATCACAAATATACCGTAGCCTTGTGAATCCAGCCCTTATTCTTGAGGAAACGGTAGTAACTACGAAGATGTCTGGATAAATCGCGACTACAACTAGCAGCTGAGAAAAATGGCTTCGTCTGCTAAAAAGATGAAACGAGCTCACAAGATGTAATTTTCTGTTATTTAATTCGGGAAACAGGTTTAAAGAATAACTAGTCATTGAACATTACAAGTCATTCACAATTCAACATTTGTTATCATTGGTTTAAAATAATCCGTTTTGTAATAAAAGGCATTTTAAGATGTTTTATTCATTTATTCATAAAATAACATTTTATCTCGAAAAAACGGAATATGGTCAGCTCTGAAACGGAAAATAACGGAATTAAAAATACTTAAAACGGAATTTGCTATTTTCTGAAACGGAAAATCATCACCCCTATTAAGGAGAGCCAAATTATATTTATGCTTTAGTCTTGTTTTGAATGTTTGGTGAATATGGTAGCATCAGAATTATCATCATGGACAGTGATAGCTCGAATGTGTGCAGTTAAAAAATAATCAAAAAATGAAAGTAGTTTATTAATCTCAATATTTAGGAGAGCGATTTAGCTAATTTGCAGGAGTCTTAAACGTGAAGAACTGCAGAAGTATCTCATATATACATGTATCCTACTAGTTTAAGTTGTAGTTGATGGCAGGTATAGAAATGTATAGTCCTGTTTATAGGCTGGCCATCTACCTTACACTAATCATAGCAAGGATCTCTGGGTTGAAATTATATATATGGAATGTGTTCAACCAGTTATATCACATAAACTTGTAAAATTGGAAATATATAGTTCTGTTTACAAACTGGCAGTCTATTTATTTGATGAGTTATAAAACATGTAAAATTGGTGAACACCAATATTGTCTTTAAGATAATCACTAACATGGTAGGCATAAAATCATTTTCTAAATGGATGTTTGAATGGTGTAAAGTTTTGGACAGAATTAGCCAGGTTTATTGTTATATTAACTGTATTAATAATTGATCATTGTACAGGAATTACTCTACAAAGATCCTAAAAGATGGAGTTTTTCATTTAATATGTACGCCCAGTTGACACGTATAAAGATGCATCAACATCAACAGGTATTTATAAAAGTTTCCCAGATTCTTTATTACCAGTATCCTGGACAATTTCTCCATGGCAATATCAGGTTGAGATACCTACCTGTGTTCCCGTTTGGTTGGCATAATGAATAAGTAAGAATAAACCGTAGCTTCGCTACCAGGACAAAATTTCTCTCAGCACCCAAATGGTTATGACGTGGTTTCAATTCCCTGGTAGTATATGACCAGGAGTAGAGATGCCTGCCCAACCTCGTGGGTTTCCCCCAGGTTTCCTCCCACTGCTGAAGACCTCTACACACAAGCAAATTATTGAAATAAAATTGAACCATTTGTTAGTTCCAAAATGACCTGGTTTGTGTCGAGTGGATGTTAAACCCCATTTCTCTCTCTCTCTCGCTCTCAAAACATGAAAAAAACTCCAGCTGACACAGTCCTCTCTCTCTCTCCCCCTCTCTCTCTCTCCCCCTCTCTCTCTCTCTCTCTCTATATATATATATATATATATATATATATATATATATATATATATATATATATATATATATATATATATATATATATATATATATATATATATATATATATATCATAGCACACTGCATGACCTGCAGGAAAGTATGATGTTGAATGAACCTTGTTTCATTTCAATTCTTACAATAAGCAAGGTGACTAGAACAAGATTATATTTTTTCAGATTAAACCAATCAAGATGTTAGAAAGATCATTATACAGCACTCAGTATTGTTTTGTTGAAAATGATTATAGAAAGTAAGATTTTAATATTATTTACCTCATAAACTCACCTGCACTAAAAAAAAACCAGTTTAATTCTAGTAATATTTTCAAGTATACAAGCTAATATTTTATTTCTAATTTTGATAAACCTGTGTAAACTGAGGTTTTATTTCTAATTTCCCGTCTTCATTAGCCCAGGTTAGGAGAAGAACAGTAGGACGTTAAACCCCATTTCATTTCTATTTCTAATTTAAAGATACATTATGGGAGATTAGATAAAGAGCTGGTAGTTCTCACTATAATGGTTAACAACTAGATAATGTAAAGGCATTTGATAAAAATTTCAGTCAAATTGATCCACTCTTAACTGAGAATTTAGCGATTAAATTTTGGGCAGAGTCTCGATCATCATTACTAAAGTCGATAATATAAAAAACATAGTCTCAATTATCCAGTTTTTGATTTAATCAGAAGCAGCAGACCGGGTTCTAATCAAGTAAATATCGGAGACTAGCGATGCCATCGAGAGTTGATTATGGTTTGGATAATTAATTAATGTCTAATTAATAATTTATATAACATTTCAGGCATAAAGAAAGACCTGCAATATGCAGATTTAGCTCTTGCATAATTTATGTTTAAATAAACAAATTTCAGGTGTGCATGCTGATGTTTTAGTTCTAATTTTAATATACATATTTCAAGGTGTGTCAGCTGTGGTTTACATCTAATTTAAATAAACATAATATTATGATTTCAGTGGAACGTTAAATGGTTTAGAACATTCTATTATAACAGAATGGTTTAATTGGTTGATTGAATCCCAACAAGTTACAGTCGATCTCATTGGTTAGTTTGTCTTCTGTTTTAAAAGTATTCAATATAATTTAGCATGTTTAAAGCATGTATACATTGGCATGCACATAAAAGATCCCTTAGCAGTTGGAATTTGATATAAGAGTAGGCCATAGTGTCGCTGCCCGGGCAAAATTTCCCTCATGGCACTCTGTATGGCGTATGCCCGTCTTCATTAGCCCAGTCAGAGCAGAACAGTAGGACGTTAAACCCATTTGGGTTGAGTGGCCAAATGGTGAACAGTTAACACATGCTCGTTGGATCGAAGGTATGTCTTTGAGTCAAGTGGCATTGTACGTGACAAGGAGTAGGGTCGCCTGTCTAACCTAGTGGGTTTTCTCCGGGTCCTCAGACTTCCTCCCACTGCTAAGTAAAGCCCCCTGTGTGCAAGCTATGGATTTGAACCTTGTGTTAGTCCAGAAATGACCTAGCTTGTGTCAAGTGGATGTTAACCCCCATTTGTCACTCTGTCAACATTGCTCGTATTGAGTCAACTGGCGTGGTTTCAATTCCCCGGTTGTACGTGACAAGGAGTAGGGTCGGGTCGCCTGTCCAACCTCGTGGGTTTTCTCCGGTTTCCTCTCACTACTAAAGACCAATACGCGCAAGCGAATTATTGAAATAAAATTGAACTGTATGTTAGTCCCGAAATGACCTAGTTTGTGTCAAGTGGACCTTAAACCCCCCCATTTCTCTCATAGCACATTGCATGACGTGCAGCAAAGTATGAACCTTGTTACATTTTATTTCTTAAAATAAGCAATGTGACTAGAACAAAATTATTTTATTTCAGATTAAACCAGATTATACTTTATTACTTGGGTATTTTTGTCCCCCGCCTTTCGAAGAAAGCAGGGGACTATTAAAATGGGTTCGTCCGTCTGTCTGTCCGTCTGTCTGTCCGTCTGTCCGTCCGTCTGTCTGTCCGTCACACTTTTTGGGACACAATAACTCTCTTCCTAATTGAGCTAGAATGTTCAAACTTGGTGTATGTGTTTATTAGGTCAATGCCTTGATGGAGTTCGAAGATGAGCATTTTCCGCTTAGGGTAAGCAGAGATAAGCAATTTGATTGGTTGATGCTTTGGGACACGATAACTCTCTTCCTAATTGGGCTAGAATGTTCAAACTTGGTGTATGTGTTGATTAGGTCAATGCCTTGATGGAGTTCGAAGATGAGCATTTTCCGCTTAGGGTAAGCAGAGATAAGCAATTTGATTGGTTGATGCTTTGGGACACGATAACTTTTAATTGAGCTAGAATGTTCAAACTTGGTTTAGTGTTTATTAGGTCAATGCCTTGATGGAGTTCGAAGATGAGCATTTTCCGCTTAGGGTAAGCAGAGATAAGCAATTTGATTGGTTGATACTTTGGGGCACGATAACTCTCTTCCTAATTGAGCTAGAATGTTCAAACTTGGTGTATGTGTTGATTAGGTCAATGCCTTGATGGAGTTCGAAGATGAGCATTTTCCGTTTAGGGTAAGCAGAGATAAGCAATTTGATTGGTTGATGCTTTGGGACACGATAACTCTAGTTCTAATTAAGTGAGATTGATGAAACTTGGTGTATAGTTTCATTACAGTAATACCTTGACTAAGTTTGATAATGAGCATTTTCTGCTCAGGGTAAGCAGCAATTTGATTGGTTGATACTTTGGGGCACGATAACTCTCTTCCTAATTGAGCTAGAATGTTCAAACTTGGTGTATGTGTTGATTAGGTCAATGCCTTGATGGAGTTCGAAGATGAGCATTTTCCGCTTAGGGTAAGCAGAGATAAGCAATTTGATTGGTTGATGCTTTGGGACACGATAACTTTAGTTCTAATTAAGTGAGATTGATGAAACTTGGTGTATAGTTTCATTACAGTAATACCTTGACTAAGTTTGATAATGAGAATTTTCTGCTTTCGGTAAGCATAGCGATACGCAATTTGATTGGTCGAGACTTTGGAAAAAATAACTCTCCTACTTTGATTGTTAGACTATAAGTAAAGATATACTGTTTGATTGTTCAATACTTTGTAAAAGATAATTTGTGATAAATTTATATGTGTCCTCTAATTATTTTCCTATTTCGGCGGGGGACATCAGCCTCACTGTTGGCTTGTTATAATTTGTGTAGTTTATCAAATTTTTTATCCTGTAGCTTGTGTAGTTTATCTAATTTTTGTATTTTTAGAACTTGAATATTTTATCAAAATTTTATAAATTTTGTAGTTTATCTGCGAGCTGATCCTGAAGTTTGTCATCAAAGAATAAAACAACGTTCAAGAAAAGAAGAATCCGGTGTCCCTTACGTAAGTTTACTTTATACTTTTATTTTTCACACCCTCGAAATCAAAACCAAAAAATGACATGATTTTATGGTGAATCCATTTTAATTCTCCGCTGGCTTCCAAAAATGGTTCTGCTGGTATTGAAGGTTTTCTGAGAAATTTTCCAGGGGGCAGTCGTCTTGCTCTCTTTAGTTACCTTTATAAATCTGAATTGATATTTAAGTGTTTGTTATATTATAGAAATTAATTGAAGAATTTATATTTAAGTTTTTGTTTTATTATAGAAATTAATTGAAGAATTACACGAATTACATGAAGACTGGTTAATACATCAAACATCATATAAAACACCGGCACCCGTTCTTGTAAGTTTTTATTAGTTATTAAAGAATAAAATAATATAAAATGTGGTCTAATGGCCCACTGTTCTGCTCAGACTCGGTTAATGAAGACAAGCATAGCCATACAGTGTGCTATGAGAATGGTTTGTGAACTGGGGGCCTGGCTAATGAAGACAAACATATGCCATGTAGTGTGCTATGAGTGAATGTCTACTATAGACTCGTATTTCTATTCTCATCTGTCAGGGTATTTTTAACATACTGTCAGTGGTATACCTTAGATCACATCAGAACAAATAGATCCAGGTTCACTAGTCACTACCCTACTGACAAGGCCCACTACACCACTAATAAAGGTGTAACAAGGCCCACTACACCACTGACAAGGAGTAACCAGTAATGAATACTTTGTCAACGCGGGGTCAGAGCCACTCTGGCGGCAGCTCATTTAATAAATTGTTGAGGAATTAAGCTAAAGTGAATTGATATATTAATATTGCCTGGCCGTGTAAAATGTTTTTCTTATATTATATTTCCAGGTTGTCGATGCTAATAATAATTATGATGTCATGAAGAGTATTTATGAAGATAAAAGACCAGAAATATTATGTGGATATTGTTGATAGACTAACGAACAAATTAATCACAGATTTGTTATCTATTATTTAGATCTGTGTGTGTTTAATAACTTGTGCTATTATTATATGTCAGCAAGAATGTGGACAATGTTGCTGTATAGGTGAAACGGGTTGAGTCTTCATATTGTTATATTCGGATCCTTGGATCCTGGGCCCTTATTAACGAAAACTTAAACTAAGATACAATCGAAATTTTAAGAAATACTGCAATTCGATTGGCTGACCAATATGCAAATTGGATCTATGCAAATTGATTTTACTGGTCAGCTAATCGAATTGCAGTCTTTCTTAAAATTTCGATTGTATCTTAGTTTAAGTTTTCGTGAATAAGGGCCCAGGAGTGTTACATAGTTACATGTGGCTGAAAAGGAAAAACAACCATTCTCCATGTTAGAATTCCAATCTCCTTCTTTATTACTCAAAAAGGTAGATCAACACCATAAGGGAGCCAACTTGTGTCAACTTAAATATAAGGTTGCAGACCACAATATGACAATATACTCCAGGAATATTACTTCATGTTTTCATGGTATATTTTATTAAGTTGATCATTTAATTAATTGATATTTACTGGAATAATTCCTGTGAAATCCTGAGCATCTGTTTGTGAAAATGTGGACACTGTTGCTGTATAGATGAATCTCATCTAGTCTTCGTTATTTTTACTCCATGTTTTCATGGTGTAGTTTATTAACTTGAGCATTTAGTTCATTGACATTTACTGGATGTGTATTTTGTTATGTTGAGCATTTACCAGTCCTTGTTTTTTAAGGCGAGCGATCGCCCTCGAGCACCCGCCATTCACCTGAATGTCGACCGAGGGAAGGTTTTTTTCACTCCCCTTAAAGTTACAATTTCATATTTTCTAAGAAAGTCAAAACATAATTATTTCTATGTCTTTTGCTCAATAGGTTGTCAACTCACTATTATACGATCATAGGTTATCTTTCTCACACTTAAAAATCTTCACACCGGAAATAATAACACAATTACCTCCCTTGTTTTCCTATTCCCCACCATGAAATGATATTTTTGCCAATTTCTCAACTGGCAATAGTGAATTATAGGATTAATAGGATTATTCTTTAACAAGGTAGGACTGTTTATAGATACCATCTATTTTAAGGCTTTAATTTAATACATTTTAAAAATATAACTTAAAAATATGAAATTGTAACTTTAAAACTGAAAATCGCTCTCTTTTACATAGTCATTGGGGTTTTATTATCATTTATAAAACCAGGAATAACCCCCTAACATGCATTTATTGATCTTAGAACCATTTTCAATGCACATAACTAATCACTCTCCTTAATATCAGATCACTCTCCTTAATTTCTAAATCACTTTTCTTATCAAAACTGGAAGAGCTTTTTAGGGGAGCGATTTTTTTCAATTTTCAATTCGTTGATTATGGGGAGGTTTTTTTTGGGGGGGGGGGGCTCCTCTGAAATACAAACAACAACAACTTATTTACTGGAGATTTCCATGCCAGATACTGTGTTTATTACATGCCAGATACTGTGTTTTATTACATGCAAGTTGTACTGGAGAAATTCATGTCAAGTACTGTATGTGTGTTTTATTATGTTCAACATTTAATTACTTGAGAAATTCTCATGTCTTGTATTTAGTGGAGCATTTAATTAATTGACATCTACTGTCAGGTTCTGAATGTATGATTTATTAAAGATACATTATGGGAGATTAGATAACAAGTTGGCAGTTATCACTATAATAGTTAAAAACTACATAATGTAAAGGCAACTTGCTGAAAATTTCGTTCAAATTGATCCACTATGAACCGAGAACTAAGCGGATGAAAGTTCCGCTTAGGCTCGATCATCATTACTGAAGTCGATAAGACAAAACTAATAGTCTTGATTATCCATTTAATTGTTAATCACGAAGGAAAGTTTTGCAGCAAATCGGACTGTAATCCAACAAATGTCGCAGGCAAGCCTTGACATCGAGAGCTGATTATGGTCTGGATAAGTTAATTAATGTCTAATTAATAGTTTTTATAACATTTCAGGCCTAAAGAAAGACCTACAATAGACAGATTTAGCTCTTGCATAATGTATGTTTAATTGACTTCTACTGTCAGGTACTGAATGTATGTTTTATTAAGTGAAGTATTTAATTAATTGATATTTCTATGAGAGTAATGCACGCCAAGTACTGAGTGTGTGTTGTATTAAGTTGAAAATTTAAATGGATTGATATTTACTGTAGAAACTCCGGTACTGAAGGGGTGTTTAATTCACTCCGGTACGGAAGGGGTGTTTAATTCACTCCGGTACTGAAGGGGTGTTTAATTCACTCCGGTACTGAAGGGGTGTTTAATTCACTCCGGTACTGAAGAGTTGTTTAAATCACTCAGGTACTGAAGGGGTGTTTAATTCACTCAGGTACTGAAGGGGTGTTTAAATCACTCAGGCAATCTGATTAAAACACAGATCCTATTTCGTTTCGTTTTTTGTTCTTCAAAATTCGTTTTACTTGTCTTTACTATACCAGGATCTGAAAGAGTTGTTATAACACGCGTTCTGGTTGAAGTAAGGGATTAGCCAATGAAACTGTCTGTTGCAGCTAGTTTTTGCTGTGAGGTGGGTATCCCACTAGAAACATCAACGCTGATTGGTTAATCAAATGCCTGATGTCATAGGGTCAAAAGCCGCTCATATGACCACTGACATGAGCTCCCACTACAGCTGGTCAGAGTTTTATGTAGTGGAGGCCATCAAAAGTATTAAAAAAAAAAAAAAAATGAAATATTGATCTGTGTTGTAATCAGGCCCTGAGTTCACAAAGCATTCTCAGACTTAAGTTGAGAATTTGCTCAACTTTCAATCACAGTTTATGAGAAATATCTTTGATCCAGAAACACAAAACTTCATACGTAGTTTCTTATTGATGTATTTGATTCAATAAAACAACAAAAGTTTTATAATGGGCTATATTTTAGTTAAAATAAGGTGAACAATTTTGAGTAAATTCTTAACATTAGTCTGAGAATGCTTTGTGAACTTGGGGCCAGATTGAAACTTAGGTACTCAGCGTGTGTTTTATTGATACAAATCCTAGATTTGTGCCTGACATTGTCTGTGTCAGGTGGCTTATTTTTAGGGTTGGGAATTTCCATTGATATGGTCATTTCAGCATTTGAACAATAATCATTTTGCATTTTAACATGTAACTTTTATGATAAATTTTGTGTTTTTACTAAGATGTATTTATTAAAATCATTTTATAACCAGTTCTTTTACATATCCTCGTCTATTACACTGCATACCATAAACGATTATACAATCATTTCAGGAACGGATTCTAGTATTGACCTCATATTATGTACACAATCTGGTCAGTTATTCCGACAGCTGTCTGCTGTTTCTCCTTGTCAGCGGTGCAGGATGGAGGGCCTGACAAGGTCAGCTGTTGGAATTCGATATAAAAGTAGGCCATAGTGCTGCTGTCTGGGCAAAATTCCCCATTGCACACTGTATGGCATGTGCCTGTCTTCATTAGCCCAGTTCGGAGCAGAGCAGTAGGAAGTTAAAACCCCCATTTCATTTCGTTATTTTGAATTCTTATGATGCTACACAGCCTGTACACTGGGTTCCTATGATAATTGTTACCTAGACATCCAAAGTTTAGACGTAAACAAGGGGTGACAGTCGACTGCTCGTATTGTGGTCACTACCATGTTTTATATGACCAGCACCACAGAGGGATATATCAGGCCACACAATATAAATGTTTTTTTTGGGGGGGGGGAGGGGGATTGGATGGTCGAATGGTTAGCACGTGTGCGCTGTATCATAAAGTCTGTCATTGAGTCACTGGCGTGGTTTCGAATCCCTGGTTGTACGTGGCAAGGAGTAGGGTCCATTGGCAGTTGGAATTCGATATAAGAGTAGGCCATTGTGCCACTGCCCATTAGCCCAGTCAGAGCAGAGGAGTAGGATGTTAAACCCCATTTCATTTCTTGGGAACTGACAGCTAGGAGGTGAGGGGGGGTTTTTTTGGTTGTTTTTTTTTTTACCTCATTGCTGGCTAGAGGATGGTACAAAATAAAATTTGGATAAAACTAACGTGTAAACCTGAACGTTAATTAAGCCCGTCAAAAAAAAACCCATAAAGAAGTTGCTTATATTAGGTGGACACTACAATGGAAAACTGACATTTGGGTCAAAGATGCCTCATATAAAAGCTAAATCTGCCTAATTGCAGATCTTTCATTTGTCTTAAATGTTATATAACGATCTAGCCCATCAGATGCTTTTATTTAAACACAATTCTTTGTTAATGGACAATCAAGACTTTGTTTATTATCATAACAATGGTAGAAATGACAATCAAGACTACCCTGTTCTAACTGCAATAACTTCACTCAGAATGAAGTAATTTGACTGAAATTTTCAACATATTCCTTTTTCATTATCTATTATAGCCAGAACTATCAGCTCTTTATCTAAATCGATCAGAGTATAAATGAAATCATACTACCTACATGAATTCAAAATGATTGCACTGGGATGGAGGTTCAGAGTATAAAATGAATTCATACTGCCTACACTGGGAGAGAGAGAAATGGGGTTTAATGTCCACTGGACACAAACTAGGTCATTTTGGGACTAACACATGGTTCAATTTTATTTCATTAATTCGCTTGGGTGGGAGGAACCCGGAGAAAACCAACAAGGTTGGACAGGCGACCCTACTCCTTGTCACGTACAAGCAGGGTATCAAAACCACACCAGCTGACTAAATGACAGACCGTATGATACAGCGCGCATGTGCTAAACCATTCGGCCATCCAACCCCCCCACCTACACTGAGGGTTCAGGGTATAAAATAAATTACTTACATGTATGCCCAACACTTTTTTGGTTGGGAGTAAAAATGAATTTGTACTGGGGAATGGAGCATAAAATATAAAATGATTTACTTCTGCCTACAGTGGGGGTTGAGAGTATGAGTTTTGTGGTATTCAAGCAGATTTGGTCGATTAAACGATTTACTGCAGAAGTCACATTTATACACCTTTCCTCCTACGTGTAATCTACGATGTTGTTTTAATAAAGTATTCTGGGTAAATGATTCATCACAAACATCACATTTAAATGGCCGTTCACCTGTATGAATCCGCCTGTGTAACTGTAACGGATAATTCTTTCTGAACGATCTGCTGCAAAAATCACATTTAAATTCCTTCTCGTCCGTGTGCATGTTAATTCTGTGTGTTTTAAGAGAGGATTTTGAAGCGAAAAATCGGCTACAAATTGGACATTTAAACGGGGTTACTTGTCTCGTATGATTTTCTACGTGAGTTTGAAACTTATCTTTATATTTAAATAATTCACGACAAATTGGACATGTAAATAATTCTGTGTGAGTTTTACTGTGTGCTTGTAGGTTGTTGAATTCAGAAAAACATCGTTTACAAACTTGACATTCATACGGTTTCCGTCCTGTATGACCTGTAAGATGTTTCCATAGACTTGAACTACCAGAATAAGATTTATCACAAATATCACAAGCAAATGGCTTTTGTTTATGAATTAATGAGTGAATTTTTAGGTGTTTTTTCGTATCAAATGATTTATCACAACTGTCACAATTAAAGTTTTTGTTGGCTTTTTTCATTTGGTTTTTCCCCGTAAAACTGTTTTGCTGTTGGGTGTCTTCATCAACAGGGTCTGTATCCTGTAAAATATAAAATTATTAGGGAGGGAGACCAATCTGATTAAAGCACAGATCTATATTTCGTTTCGTTTTTTTATACTTTCGATGGCCTACACTACATGAAGATCTGACCAGTTGTAGTGGAAGGTCGCATCAGTAGTCATACGAGCAGCTTTTGACCCTATCTCCTCAGACATTTGCTTAACCAATCAGTGTTGATGTTTCTAGTGGGATACCCACAGTTCCGTGCAACACAGACCAAGAACTCACTGTAACAAACCATTTCAATAGCTAATCCCTCACATCAACCAGAACACGGATTATATAACAGCTCTCCCAGATCCTAGTGTAGTAAAGACAAGTAAAACAAAACTATAAAAAACGAAACGAAATAGTTTCTGTGTTTTAATCAGATTGGGAATGATAGAAATCAGGATGTATATATCAAGTGTCCTGGGGAAGAACGATCTAAGTCACATTTTTGTCTTTTCGCATAAAAGGCAAAACAAACTTTTGGATGAGAATGCTTGACGCGAACAGAACAACGAGTGGGTTTAATTAAATTTCAACCTACAACCTAACCAACCTCTCAACTCTTGTATCCTTCAGCCTCAAAATCATGAATATTCACCAAAACCTGGCAGAAAATGTATTTTCAAACGGATTTTCTTCGATTTTACACCAAAAAGTCAATAAAAATCGCTATGCAAAAGGGGAAAGGGAAAGAAAGACTAAAAATAACTTTCGCCCTACATTCGTGGGTGACTGCGTAGAAATATTTAGTGAGCTGTGTCCAGTTATATTTACCAGTGTTGAACAACTTGTGTTAACTTCCTCTTCCTCCAGATGACTTTCTTCACGAATTTCTTCACGACATAGACATGTGCAAGCAGACGAAAGACCAATTAATAATTTACCACAAAAATCACACTTGGATTGTTTCCCGTTCGCGTGCTCCTCAAGTCTGTGTTTTCTAAGAGAATATTTAGACGTAAAACATCTCCCACAAACAGGACATTTAAAAGGAGTTTCTACTGAAGAATGAAGTCTCATCTGAGTTTGAACAGCATGAGTTTTACTGTGTGCTTGTAGGTTGTTGAATTCAGAAAAACATCTCTTACAAACTCGACATTCATACGGTTTCCGTCCTGTATGACCTGTAAGATGTTTCCGTAGACTTGAACTACCAGAATACGATTTATCACAAATATCACAAGCAAATGTTTTCTCCTGAATCAATGAGTGAATTTTTAAGTCATTTTTATTATCAAATGATTTTCGACAGTCATCACATTTAAAGTTTTTGCTGGATGGTTTTTGTTGGTGTTTCTCTATAGAACTGTTCTCAGGTGTGTTGTAAATATCAGGAGTGTCTTCTGTATTCTATAAATATATGTTATATATATGTAATGTGATATTTTATAGTGTTTAAATGAAATGAAACAGGTTTAACATCCTACTGTTCTGCTCCGAACTGGGCTAATGAAGACAGGTATATGCCATACAGTGTGCTATGAGGGAAATTTTGCCCGGACAGCGACACTACGACCTACTCTTATATCGAATTCCAACTGTAAAGGGATCTTTTACGTGCACGCCAATGTTTACACGGGCCTTAAAATATGGTCTAATTTCATTTTAATAATTCGCTTGCGCGTAGTGCGTCTTTGGCAGTGGGAGGAAACAGGAGGACCCAGAGAAAACCCACAAGGTTGGACAGACACCCCTACTACTTTTCACGTACAACCGGGGAATTGAAACCAATCACAGACCTTATGATACAACGGCATGCACTAACCATTCGACCATCCAACTCCCCCTTGTTTGTCTGTCTGTTCAGGGTTGGCGGTTACACTAGGGCTCTTCCGAGGCTGAAATATAGTGTATAGGGGTAGCCTGGACTAGGGAGTAACATAGGCCTGGTGACGATGGTCTACCGCTTCCTGTTTCAGTGTTATGCTACTTCCATTTCATGGTCAAACGCTAGTAGTTATTAATGTATCGCCATCTTGGTACCAGGGCTACGTCAGGTCAACCAGCCAACCGCTAGTAGTTATTAAAGTATTGCTGTCTTGGTACCAAGGCTACGTCAGGTCAACCAGCCAACCGCTAGTAGTTATTAAAGTATCGCCATCTTGGTACCAAGGCTACTTCAGGTCAACCAGCCAACTGCTAGTAGTTATTAAAGTATCGCTGTCTTGGTAACACGTTGTTGTGTTCTGTTTGGTTTGTGGTCTCTGAAACTAATACAAAATTGGGCTAATGAAGACGGGCATATGCCATACAGTGTGCTATGAGGGAAATGACCTACTCTTATATCGAATTCTAACTGTCAAGGGATCTTTTACTCGCAGGCCAATGTTTACACAGGACCTCGGTTTTTCATCCCATCCGAACGACTAGACAGCTGTCCTTGTCAGGCCCTCCGTCCTGCACTACTGACAAGGGGGAACCACCCCGGAATGAAACTACTACAATCTCAGTGATATTTACCATTGTTGAACAACACTCATTCGATTCCTCTTCCTCAAAAATATCGGTACCTTTATCCAGATTATCCAGGCCACTTTCACCAAAACTCTTCTTAGGTCGATTCTCGTCTGTACTTTTATCTTGATTATCCAGGTCACTTGTCTCAGGTCGTTTCACTTCCGTGTGCTCACTGGTTTCGTGTTTTCTAAGAGAAAATTTAGATGCAAAACATCTCCCACAAACACGGCACTTATAAGGACTCTCTTCAATAGAATGATTTTTCATATGAGTTTGAAACTTTTGTTGATCTTTAAATAATTCACGGCAAATTGGACATGTAAATAATTCTGTGTGAGTTTTACTGTGTGCTTGTAGGTTGTTGAATTCAGAAAAACATCGTTTACAAACTCGACATTCGTATGGTTTCCGTCCTGTATGACCGGTAAGATGTTTCCGTAGACTTGTACTACCAGAATAAGATTTATCACAAATATCACAAGCAAATGGCTTCTCCTGTTCATGAATTAATGAGTGAATTTCTAAGCCTCTTTTCGTAGCAAAGGATTTTCCACAGTCATCATATTTAAAGTTTTTCTTGTTGGGTTTAAGTTGGTGTTTCCCTATAGAACTGTTCTCAGGTCGGTATTTGCCTATAGAACTGTTCTCTGGTCGGTGTTTCCCTATAGAACTGTTCTCAGGTCGGCGTTTCCCTATAGAACTGTTCCTAGGTCGGTGTTTTTGGATAGAACTGATCTCAGGTCGGCGTTTCCCTATAGAACTGTTCTCAGGTCGGCGTTTCCCTATAGAACTGTTCTCAGGTCGGTATTTGCCTATAGAACTGTTCTCTGGTCGGTGTTTCCCTATAGAACTGTTCTCTGGTCGGTGTTTCCCTATAGAACTGTTCTCAGGTCGGTGTTTCCCTATAGAACTGTTCTCAGGTCGGCGTTTCCCTATAGAACTGTTCCTAGGTCGGTGTTTTTGGATAGAACTGTTCTCCGGTCGGTGTTTCTCTACAGAACTGTTCTCAGGTGGGTGTTTCTCTACAGACATTGGTTGCTGGTTCTCTACCAAACTGTTTTCAGGTTGGAGAGTTTCATCCACAGCCTCTGTCTCCTGTAATATAAATTTATTTATGATATCAATCAATATTTCAAATTTTAAATTTATTCAGAGTTAATTCTACATTTAACCCTGGTATCGTGCCAACACAAGAAGCATTGGGGATGCTCGATTCACAGTCCGGAACGTCCCGAATTGACAGAATTGCAATCGAGTAACGCAGAATTCAGTTCTGTCACAGTTCTGTCAGTCCCAACAACGGAGGTGGTAGGAGTAGAATCGTGACGTAATTAAAAGGTTTCGGCTGCACGGTTGGTTGAGATATTTACTTATTCAGTCGACGCATGCGCTGTAGCCCGAAATCACCTTTTCCCTCTATTGTCACTATTTTTGGAATTGAAGGAATTCAATTCCGGAACGTTCAATCGAGTACCCCCATTGACTTGCTCTGATGGATAATTCAAGCAGTATTACTTGGGGGGTACTCGATTGAATGTTCTCAATCCCAAAAATAGTGACAATCGAGTGAAAGGGGGTATTTCGGGCTACAACACATGCGTCTCCTGGATAAGTAAATATCTCAACCAACCATGCAGCCGAAACACATTCGTTGTGTTTAATTCTACTCACACCACCTCCGTTGTTGGGACTGACAGTACTGGGACAGAACTGAATTCCGTGCCACTCGATTGCAATTCTGGACGTTCTGGACAGTGAATCGAGCTTCCCCTTGGACATTAAACTCCATATAAATCTAAAATTTTAATATGTTTATCATAATATTTTTTTCTCTGTTCTTTTCTTTACATTTATTTTGCCTGGGAAGACCATTACCAAACTGATTCATTCATATGTCACTTATTATTGCAGCCAAAGTACAAATGATAACTTTCCTTTATGTCTTTCTGACATTCGATAAATGTTTTTTGTTTGGGAACACAAGATGTTTTTTGGTTAAAGTTTTTTCTACTCAAATTGCCCAGCGTATGTAGATCTGTGATAGAGATTCATTCATCATCCACTGCATATCATCGGTGAGAGAGAGAGAGAGAGAGAGAGAGGTTTATGTCTACTCGATACAAATTAGTTCATTTCGGGACTAACATATGGTTCAATATTTCAATAATTCGCTTGCGCGTAGGGGTCTTTAGCAGTGGGATCGATAGTTGATTATGGTCTGGATCAGTAAATGTCTAAGATAACATTTCAGACCTAAAGAAAGACCTGCAATAGACAGATTTACCTCTTGAATAATGTACATGTATGTTTAATTAAATGTTATTTAACATGGTTTAAGCAAATAAGATATTATCCGAAAAATGCAAATCAGTGGCTTTAGCCATGTTTTAAAACAGAATGTTTTACAAAAAGTGTTAAATGACAATAAATGCTCCAGTTATTTCGAAACTGAAACAAATTTATCAATATTATAAAAAGGTACTTTTACTGTTTTGTTAATTTTGAAAGTTTAATTGATATTTACCATGATGGAGTAATCCTCATCAACTTCATCTTTCACAGGAACGGCTATACATTCATCAAATTCATTTTCATCAAAACTTCTCTCTGAGTCTGACTCTAAACCATTAACTTGAGTAGATATTCCTGGCTTTTCTTTATCGTGATTTTCACAATGTTTCTTTAGACCTGTGTGTGACGTATAATGTTCTTCTTTAAAGTGACGTTCGTAATGTTTCTGTAGATCTGTCTGTGACGTATCACGCTCTTCTTTAACGTGACTTTCACAATGTTTCTGTAGACCTGTCTGTGATGTATCACGCTCGTCTTTAACATGACTTTTGTAATGTTTCTGTAGGCTGGTTTGTGACGTATCACGCTCTTCTTTAACGTGACTTTCACAATGTTTCTGTAGACCGGTTTGTGATGTAAACTCTCCACCACACAATTTACACTGATGAATAGTTAGAACATCGTCGCTCAGTAAAAAGCAGTAATTGTATTCCATAGAATTGTGACCTCTATAAGTTAGAACATCGTCAGTTATTTCTGTTTTAACATGGAGGTGTATTTTACTGTGTTTCTCCAATTGGTTATAAGTTTGAAACACATCGTCACATACTGAACACTGATGAAAGTTTTCCTGTATTATAACAAAAAAAAAACATTTTAAAACACAAACACATCTGCTTCATATACACACTTTTTAAACTAAACATCTACTTTGAGCTTTAAGAGTGTGTTTGCGAGAGAATCATGCAGGGAGCGGCACATGGTGGGTGACCGATTTTCACCATTTTGTTTATGCATGATGGGTAACCCCTCCAAACCCCACTGCCACAATTTTAGATCAATCAAACCATTTTTAAAGTGTAGAAAAATTTTGAAATTTTAGACAAAAAAAAGCCCCCAAAATCATCATTTTCTGGCCATTTGTCAATTATGGGGTACAACTAAACCACGGCGAGTAGATTAATGAAACTTTATTGGGTAGCAGATATGATTAGTGAGTATACATATGTACAGTTTGATGGACTTTCATTGAGAGGTTTTTGGTATAGGGACTTAGTGCTTCAAGGTACCAAAATAGCTCAATTTAGGTATGCCATTTTATTATATCTATATCTCACCCACTGCGGGTATAAGAATTTTTTTGGAATGCTGACTGAAAAGGCAAAGATCTGTAGTATTAAGATCAAGAAAAAAACTGGATGGCACGCAACTCGTTTAGTAGTAAATAATCTCCATTTGTCTCCCCAAAATAACGATTTTCACCAAAAATGACGAAAACGCACCGCTTTATGCATACACTGAACTGTGTAACAGGCACTGGAAACCAAATTAACGTGGGTTCCAGTTCCATTAAGTATCTAATCATGAAAATTGAGCGAGCTCATAATTACACCGTTAAAATTTTTAAGCGTTGAAGTTTGAAAAGCTTAATTTACTGTAAATACCAAAAGAATTGTTCTTGGTAAATATAATTAATCTCTCTCGACTAATTTTTTAAACATTTTATTAATTCGGCAATAATCTCATGATCTAGTACTAGTAGTAGAAGGATGATGAATTTTGAAACAGCAAATCGTAAAAACTAAATAGTGTAATTTATACTAACATATAGTGGTCATACAAATCTGTCTATACTTGAAAAACGAATCAAGCGATATTTCAAAAATATAAAACAAATAGTATATTTGCGCAAGGTCACTATTGTAGCATATCAACACTGCCGCAATTAAAGCAAGTTTCTGTTCCAAATTATGACTGGTCAATAGTCTGATTAATAACCAATACCCAACTGCGTAACAATATCATTCGGGTTCAAACAGAGCTCCAAACATGTTTACATAACGTTACATCATGATTCACGAAAGGTTTTGGAAGACCCAGATTAAACGAAAGACTGTCATTTTGCAGATTTGATTGAACGGAAAGAATAGACACACTTTCTTAAAAAATTAAGTATCAGAAGTCAATCCAGCAATGGCCAGAGAGATATTTCTCAGGCCATTGCTTCAGGAATATGCTATTGTAGTTTCTTTCGGATAACTGGCTACTAAACCTCATTTTATTTGTGGAAAAAAGACGGGAAAATAAATAGTTGATTTCAGCCGTCATCTTGGATGCTGGAGTACAAACCTAACTTCGGCCTAGCAAATAATAATAATGATGTTCGTTTATACAGCGCACATACGCCATGCACAGAGGCATTTTCACTGCGCATACAATGAAATTCATTTATTTAATCCTGATGACAAGGTGGGTTTTAAGTTTTGATTTCAAACAAGAAAGAATTTGAGATGATTTAATGATCTCCGGACGATTGGTCCACAGTTTAGGCGCATTTACCGAGAACGATCCGTATCCAAATGAATTTAATTTCCACCTTGAGCAACACAACTGATGGAGCTGTGTCCGGTCGGAGATTACGCGAGGGAACTTGTATTTGCATAAGCGTTGGCTAAGCTATTCACACACTGATACGTCAAAGGCAGACTTTTGAAGATGATTCTTTCATTTATTGAGTAGTTTCAGAACAGGAGTAATATGAGAGAATTTTGATAATCTGGTAACAATTCGAGCTGCGGTATTTTGTACAAGTTGATTTTTTTTAATATTGGCACTAGATGTTTCTACTAACAAGCTGTTACAGTAGCTAATCAATTGTCTTATATGGCCAATGTTCCTGGACTGAAGATAACATTGTCGACAAATTTCACTAATGAGACTGTCCATGCTTAAATTGAATCCCATCCTAAGTTCTTCACAGTGTTTCATGGTACAAGTATTGCATCTCGTACAACCATATCATTTGGACTTGTATTTTTCAGATGTGTATTTGGGCCAAATAAAATACATTCTAATTTACTTATTCAATTACATTTAATTTCAACATATTTCTTGTCATCCTATCTTTAATGCCACATCAACACAACTTGATGTCAGAATAATTAGGGGATGAAACAGTTTTTGAAAAGGAGTAATTTGCAATCAGCTGTGTGTCATCTGCATAAGAATGTCGTCCTAGAAACCCAATTATCGATTAGATGTCCTAAATTCTTAGTATACATTACAGAAAGGATAGGGCCAAGGACTGATCCTTGTGGAACTCCTGAATTATCTGTACCGGCCCTGCTGGAAGACGGTTGCACGGGGCATTATCAGGCCTAATAATCCAGGCAATGAATGATTTTATTGGAAAATAATGTCAGAAATGAAGTCATTTTCTTCAAGTTCGACCATCAAATTTAATATGAAAGAAATCCGTGCCAGTCATTTTCTCAAAACTAAATAATAGTATTAGTAGTCCTCAACTTCCATTATTAATATAATTGTCCTCAGTCCCGCAGTGGGTGAGATATAGCATCATGAAATTTATATGTTTTAGCATATAGCAAAAACTGTGTCTCAAAATAAATTCCTCATGGCGTCAAATGGTTTCGGAAAAATTTAATAGTCATATATATTGAAGTAGTAGACAAGATCATTCATAAAAAAATAATTTAAAAAATAAAAATTCAATAGGCAATTTATGGGAAATATTTGAATTTAGGGCTTTTTTTGTCACAAAAAAGATGTGTTTTAACTCTAAAATGGCCATAGCTGGTTCTCCGTAACTACAAGGTTGGTGACCCTCATATTTCATGTGGGGTATATGGGGTACCCAATGACAAAAACTGCAAAGTTTGGTCAAAATCACCAGACCCCACTTGTGCCGTTATTTTTCAATTTTGCATGATTCTCTCGCAAACACGCTCTTAATGATAAAATGAAATGAAATAAAATGTGGTTTAACGTCCTACTGTTCTGCTCCGACTGAGCTAATGAAGACAGACATATGCCATGCAGTGTGCTAAGAGGAAAATTTTGCCATGACAGCGGCACTATGGCCTACTCTTATATCAAATTCCAACTGCAAAGTGATCTTTTACATGCATGCCAATGTATACACAGGACCTCTGTTTTTCATACTATCCAAACAACTAGACAGCTGTCCTTGTCAGTTCCTCGCCCTGCACCACTGACAAAGGGTAACTAGGTCGGAAAAGCTTTAATGATAAATCAAATTATTAAATTTGTGCATACCGCTACTTTAATTCATACTTTTGAATTCACTTACAGTGAGATTGCATTAAGGCACACAAAATTGATTCTAAAAACAGTTACATTGAGAACTTTGTAGGCCAACACCAGGATCGAACACTGTGGCTGTCATTTATCAGGAAAAAACAAATTCTCGATAAAAAGATTGATAAATGGATAGTGCAAATTACCTAAAGCCACCCAAATCCACAAATATTTCAACTTAATATCACAATAATTTATATCGCTATTTGATAATGTATCGTTCTTTATGCCAAATTGTCATTTTTAATTTAAAATTGTAATGCTATATTATCAAATATCAATATAAATTATTGACGTTGAGTTGAAATAATGGTGGAATTGGGTAAATCTACTGTCGATAAACTGATAAATCTTAAATCTACCATAGCCCGCATGTCATAGCTGCAGACAAATACATTTCAAGGGAACCACGCCTGACATTTTGGTGTTTTACACTCCAAAACCGAGTCTGAAGTGAAACCAATTGTCTGGCTTTAGTCTGAACCTTTGACAAACGAGTCCAAACCATCGTTTGTGTGGAGTCCGAAAGGTGGTAAGACTGAAAGATTGTGATATGTATAATAAACTTTATTGATTGGAGTCTGGTTAGAAAAGATAGAAATTCAAACTTACACCACTGAAATATTTCAACATCTTTTTTACTTTTCTGTTGAATTTTTGTAAACCTTCGCTAAACGAGACTGAAATAAAATTCTAAAGCTTCAAAATCTCGGTACATTGAATCAGTTATTTCTATAACGATAATAATTTATAAATGTATAAGTATCTGAATAATAGGCCTACGAAGCACCCAAGCTATAACTGGCAGACATCAGACAAATGGCTGCTAGACGTCACCAAAAGCTAGCAGACAAGAATAAACATAGTTCAAAATATTCACCTCTTTGCATAATGAATTGATCTGCTCTAATCACGTGATCAATTCTGTCCAGTGGTCGCCGTCGATACTGATTTACAGTAGAAAACACAGAATATAACAAAAAGAAAGGAAACGAAATACAATATTAATAGTAGTTTGAACCTTACAATTCACCCTAAAGTGAGTAGTGTACCAGGATAATGTTTATATTTTATGAAAGATAATAAATTGTTCTTTCAAATGGTATGTGATAATATAGTTGGAATTTGATTTTTCATATTGCATTCCACTGCGACAAGACAGCATCCTATATCAATATGGCCTCGAAGTCTGCTACCCCACCCCTCTTATACTTTACAATTCACCCTGTAGATATTAATGTGCCAGAAAAATGATTACATTTTATAAACGATAATAAATTTCTCTTTTAAATGGTATATGATATTATACTTGGAATTTGATTTTTTATATATCATTTCGTTGCCGCAAATGGCAGGATCCCGTATAAATACCGTCTCAAGGTTTGCTACCCCACCCCTCTTATACCTTACAATTCACCCTGCAGATATTAATGTGCCAAGAAAATGATTATATTTTCTGAAAGATAATACATTCCTCTATTAAATGGTATGTGACAATATACTTGGAATTTGATTTTTCATATAGCATTTCGTTGCCGCAAATGACAGCATCCCGTATAAATACCGTCTCAAGGTATGCTACCCCACCCCTCTTATACCTTACAATTCACCCTGTAGATATTAATGTGCCAGGAAAATAATTATATTTTCTGAAAGGTAGTACATTCCTCTATTAAATGGTATGTGACAATATACTTGGAATTTGATTTTTCGTACAGAATTTCGCTGATGCAAATGACAGCATCCTATATTAATATAGCCTCAATGTCGGCTACCCCCACCCCTCTTTTTCCTTACGATTTGGAAAGAAGATATCAATGTGCCAAAAAAATGTTTATATTTGATGAACGATGATAAATTTCTCTCTTAAATGGTATATGGCATTATACTTGGAATTTTATTTTTCATATAGCTTTTCGCTGTCGCAAATGACAGCATCTTGTATAAATACCGTCTCAAGGTATGCTACCTCACCCCTCTTATACCGCATAATTCACCCTGTAGATATTATTGTGCCAGGAAAATGTTTATATTTTATGACCGTTAATAAATTTCTCTTTTAAATGGTATATGATATTATACTTGGAATTTGATTTTTCATATATCATTTCGTTGCCGCAAATGACAGCATCCCGTATAAATACCGTCTCAGGGTATGCTACCCCACCCCTCTTATACCTTACAATTCACCCTGTAGATATTAATTCCAAGTATATTGTCACATACCATTTAATAGAGGAATGTATTATCTTTCAGGAAATATAATCATTTTCCTGGCACATTAATATCTACAGGGTGAATTGTAAGGTATAAAAGGGGTGGGGTAGCATACCTTGAGACGGTATTTATACGGGATACTGTCATTTGCGACAACGAAATGCTATATGAAAAATCAAATTCCAAGTATAATATAATATACCATTTAAAAGAGAAATTTATTATTGTTCATAAAATATAAACATTTTCCTGGCACAATAATATCTACAGGGTGAATTATGCGGTATATGAGGGGTGGGGTAACAGACCCGGAGACGGTATTTATACAGGATGCTGTCATTTGCGACAGCGAAAAGCTATATGAAAAATAAAATTCCAAGTATAATGCCATATACCATTTAAGAGAGAAATTTATCATCGTTCATAAAATATAAACATTTTTCTGGCACATTGATATCTTCTTTCCAAATCGTAAGGTATAAGAGGGGTGAGGGTAGCCGACATTGAGGCTATATTAATATAGGATGCTGTCATTTGCATCAGCGAAATTCTGTACGAAAAATCAAATTCCAAGTATATTGTCACATGCCATTTAATAGCGGAATGTATTATCTTTCAGAAAATGTAATTATTTTCCTGGCACATTAATATCTACAGGGTGAATTGTAAGGTATAAGAGGGGTGGGGTAGCATACCTTGAGACGGTATTTATACGGGATGCTGTCATTTGCGGCAACGAAATGCTATATGAAAAATCAAATTCCAAGTATATTGTCACATACCATTTAATAGAGGAATGTATTATCTTTCAGAAAATATAATCATTTTCCTGGCACATTAATATCTACAGGGTGAATTGTAAGGTATAAGAGGGGTGGGGTAGCATACCTTGAGACGGTATTTATACGGGATGCTGTCAATATGCGACAGCGAAATGCTATATGAAAAATCAAATTCCAAGTATAATATCATATACCATTTAAAAGAGAAATTTATTATCGTTTATAAAATGTAATCATTTTTCTGGCACATTAATATCTACAGGGTGAATTGTAAAGTATAAGAGGGGTGGGGTAGCAGACTTCGAGGCCATATTGATATAGGATGCTGTCTTGTCGCAGTGGAATGCAATATGAAAAATCAAAATACAAGTATATTATCACATACCATTTGAAACAACATTTTATTCTCTTTCATAAAATATAAACAGTATCCTGGTACACTACTAACTTCAGGGTGAATTGTAAGGTTCAAACTACTATTAATATTGTATTTCGTTTCGTTTCTTTTTGTTATATTCTGTGTTTTCTACTGTAAATCAGTATCGACGGCGACCACTGGACAGAATTGATCACGTGATTAGAGCAGATCAATCCATTGTGCAAAGAGGTGAATATTTTGAACTATGTTTATTCTTGTCTGCTAGCTTTTGATTACTTCTAGCAGCCATTTGTCTGATGTCTGCCAGTTATAGTTTGGGTACGAAGCATTAGCAGAAAGAAAATAAATCTGAATCTCGAAACTCTCGAGAGGTGACAAGTTGTATTCCACATACAGACTAAGACTAGACCAACCCGAGTAGTTCACATTCGGCGGGCATATACTTCCACTACGTTTTTTTTTTGTGTCCGATGTATTTCCTATTGCATTCCTACATACCTTTGACAGAAATTACACTCAGGGATGAGCTAATGGTAATGGAATGGAATCATTACACTTTTGAACTAATGGTCATGTATAATGAGCAGGGATCACGTTGGCTTTCAATGTTTATCCAAAATTGATAATAATTTTTATATAAAAAAAATTAATATTTCCAATGGTAACAAGCATCAAAGAAGTAAATTAAGTATTTCTGACAAAAATCCCCGATTCATCATTCTTAGTGAAGTGATGGCTGAGGTGATCTCGGCCAACCAAGGACCGGTTAAATATTCGCCATTTTTTCGACAATGAATTAAAAATCGGTTATTATAAAGCCGACAATAACCTATATAGGAGACGCTCTACATTCATGGTGTCTGCAGCGATGAATTAAAAATGCGGTTATTATTAGGCTAGCCACCAGTCTAATCTATTAAAAAGCCTATAGATTAGAGTAGGCCTAGCATGGCAGACGCCCTGCACTGGTCCCTTAGCAAAAAGTCCTACAGAATACCAGTGTAGTATTGTATATAATTCTATAGAAAAACTAAAACTATAGAGTTTTTTTTTTTTGGGGGGGGGGGCGTGTCCCATTTTCTATAGGATAAAATTCTATAGTATTCTACAGAATTTTGGGGGCCTGTAGGAAATAACGGCCCCAAATATTCTATAATTTCTGTAGCGCACATCCTATAGTTTAAATAAACTTTGTCTTTATTTCATTGACTTATCTGAAGAATAATTTATTATCTGATATTTTTGTTGTGAAGATCTACATTTACTGGCATTTTTTGGAGGGTGGGTGGGGAATTCCTTTGAGTGTCAACATGTATCACTATTTCATTCATATTATATACACTATTTTATACTTAATATTTTATTTTTCGTGGTAAGCTTATTTTAGTTTGTCATTTGGTATCACAATAAAGGAAACCGTATCCAGGAAAATTATGTTGGAAAAGTTTACAGAATTCACACAAGTGCCTCACTAAATTCTGTTGTAAACTATAGTATGAATAAAAGACATCACCAATTTATGAAATCTGTGGTATAGAACATTGTTTCTACATTATTATGTAGGAAACTATAGTAGGCTATTCGTTAAAATGGTTTAAGTACAGTATACATATAAATTCTACAGAAAACTATAGAAGGCTCATGCATTATATTTTTCTCCACAAAATCTATAAAAAAAATGTCAGAATGTCATAGAAAACTATAGGATCACACAACTGACTTGAGACAATAAGTTAGTTCTATAGAAAACTATAGTTTTTACCACCAAATCTATAAGAACGCCAGCTGACATAAGAATACAAGTTAGTTTTATAGCAAACTATAGTTTTTACCACAAACGCTGTAGAAAACTGAAGGATTACTCAAATGACTCGAGGATACAGGTTAGTTCTATAGAAAACTATAGCAGCCCAATGAATCTGTAGGTTTATTTTTTTTTCCAATAGTTTCTTACAGTATTCTATAGAATTCTGTAGGAAATTACACTTGGAAAATATTCATCTATCAATCCTACACAAAACTATAGTACATGTTTTTGAATCTATAGTCATGTGAAAAAAAACTACAGAATGAATTTGTTTTCCTGCAGCATTCTATAGCATTCTATAGAATCCCACAAACTTCTATAGAAACCTGTACTTTTTCTATAGGACTTTTTTATAAGGGGTGTTAGAACTTAGAAATGAAATGAAATGGGGTTTAACGTCCTACTGTTCTGCTCCTAACCTGGGCTAATGAAGACGGGCATACGCCATACAGTGTGCTATGAGGAAAATTTTGCCCGGACAGCGGCACTACGGCCTACTCTTATATCGAATTCCAACTGCCAAGGGATCTTTTACGTGCACGCCAATGTGTACACGGGACCTCGGTTTTTCGTCCCATCCGAACGACTAGACAGCTTTCCTTGTCAGGCCCTCCGTCCTGCATCACTGACAAGGGAGAACCACGCCGGAAAATCTGGATGAACTTTCTCGGCCAATGCAGGGATCGAACACCCGACCTCCAGGCTAGCGAGCTAGCGTCTTACCCACTTAGCCACGTGATTCCCGTGTTAGAACTTAGAAGTTCGTTAGCTGCGAGAACATATAAATCTGAGGTTGAGATAATCTGATTGATACGTGAGATATTAATATGGTCTATTAATTGAGCAAGGAAATTAGATTATTCAGCGATAACAGCATTATACCGTACCTCTTTCTTTTCAGTGGCATTTTAGGCTCCGACATTTTATGATTACTTGTCGTCTGATCTGATTGAATTTTGCGCGGAAAATCAAATAAACACTCGGTCAAACAAAGAATCCGAATGCACGGGCACAACAAGGGCCAAAGTTATTTTTAGTCTCTCTCTCCCTTTCCCTTTTCCCCCTTTTGCATCGCGATTTTTGTTGACTTTTTGGTGTAGAATCGAAAAAAAGGGTTTGAAAATACATTTTCTGCCTGGTTTTGGTGAATATTCATGATTTAAAGGCGGAAGGATACAAGAGTTGTGAGGTTGGTTACGTTGAAATGTAGGGCCGGAAATTGCATGTTTAGTT